GTTATGTTCATGCTGTTATGTTGCTAATATGTCATTATGTCTACATGTTCACGCTACAAACATAACGTCCAATTTACGTCGAGATAACGTCCTTTTTATGTCGTTCGTGACGATGTCGTTATGTGGTTATGTCGCTAGTGTGAACCAGGCTTTATCAAACAGATCATTACCGGTTAGAGTTAAAACTCAGTGGTAAATATGACCTTTAGCAAAAGCTGCCTAAGATTTCCTCGCACTTCCGCATCGAGCTGGCGGAGTTCTTATATGAGTTGCCGTCGTGGCATGCTATGGGATTTTAAGGTGGCTGACATCGATTTCTAGTACTTGTTAAGCGTCTATGTACTTTGGCGGATGGGTAGTACCTTTCTCTGTAAGGTGATAGCACAATAGTGGTATCAAACACATACCTAACCATCGGTAAACATCCTATGGCAATTTTCTTGACATCATAGGTTGGTTATTATGGCAATAGTAAAATCTGTCAGAAACACACTAAGTTTAGCTTTTGGTAATAATAACTCAACATCGAGCTCGGTGGCCCATTATTTTCATTGTTGAACAGTGATTAGTTGTGGAGATCCGACATTTTACCTAATTCAAAATTAAATTAAATTCGTCGAAAAAGATTCAGAGCCACTTTAAATTTTCGCGAAAATTTAAGGCAGCTCTAAATCTGCCCCACAGTTCTAAACTTTGTGATAAGATGAATCTAGACATACTGACCACAAAAGAGGGAAACTGCAAAATAAATATAAAGGTTTGTATTTGAATCAGTTACGTTAGAACTCTTTTCACAGAATAGGGAAGGAAATAGGTGACGTCATTTTCATGTCGTTTTCCAGCTATGTATAAAGAGGCACTGGAAGTCGGCAGTTATCATACTGCTATGTGTGGTCGTGTCGGTATTGGCGACTCTAGTTTCTGTCTCCACTGTGCGCTCAAGGTACGGAGTTTATTACAGTCACTTAACTTAACAAAAACATTCGGTGGACTCGCCTACTTAACGTATCTGATAGGTAAAAGGTAAAGTCTGCATACGAGCNCCCTTCTTGTTTTTCTCTTCTCGTTCCAGTGTTGCTGAGCTGCATGTACATGTTTGAGGCTCTCGACTATCATGCAGAAAGGGACCGCGAGAAGCTTACTTATAATAGTCCCTCTTAAGCCTGGCTCACAATAGCGACATAACGACATAGCGACATCGACATAACGACATAAGGAAAAGATCAGTTTTAATCTTTATGTCGTTATGTTCATGCTGTTATGTTGCTAATATGTCATTATGTCTACATGTTCACGCTACAAACATAACGTCCAATTTACGTCGAGATAACGTCCTTTTTATGTCGTTCGTGACGATGTCGTTATGTGGTTATGTCGCTAGTGTGAACCAGGCTTTATCAAACAGATCATTACCGGTTAGAGTTAAAACTCAGTGGTAAATATGACCTTTAGCAAAAGCTGCCTAAGATTTCCTCGCACTTCCGCATCGAGCTGGCGGAGTTCTTATATGAGTTGCCGTCGTGGCATGCTATGGGATTTTAAGGTGGCTGACATCGATTTCTAGTACTTGTTAAGCGTCTATGTACTTTGGCGGATGGGTAGTACCTTTCTCTGTAAGGTGATAGCACAATAGTGGTATCAAACACATACCTAACCATCGGTAAACATCCTATGGCAATTTTCTTGACATCATAGGTTGGTTATTATGGCAATAGTAAAATCTGTCAGAAACACACTAAGTTTAGCTTTTGGTAATAATAACTCAACATCGAGCTCGGTGGCCCATTATTTTCATTGTTGAACAGTGATTAGTTGTGGAGATCCGACATTTTACCTAATTCAAAATTAAATTAAATTCGTCGAAAAAGATTCAGAGCCACTTTAAATTTTCGCGAAAATTTAAGGCAGCTCTAAATCTGCCCCACAGTTCTAAACTTTGTGATAAGATGAATCTAGACATACTGACCACAAAAAAGGGAAACTGCAAAATAAATATAAAGGCTTGTATTTGAATCAGTTACGTTAGAACTCTTTTCACAGAATAAGGAAGGAAATAGGTGACGTCATTTTCATGTTGTTTTCCAGCTATGTATAAAGAGGCACTGGAAGTCGGCAGTTATCATACTGCTATGTGTGGTCGTGTCAGTATTGGCGACTCTAGTTTCTGTCTCCACTGTGCGCTCAAGGTGCGGAGTTTATTACAGTCACTTAACTTAACAAAAACATTTGGTGGACTCGCCTACTTAACGTATCTGATAGGTAAAAGGTAAAGTCTGCATACGAGCAAAGTGGCTCATCAGACCGGAGCTTATCCCGGTTTCAGTAGCATGAAGCGACTAGGAGTACTTCTACTCCCCACTGGATGAGATGCTAGCCTATCGCAAGGTTACCCCCCAGCATTAAATTCGCCGGTACCCGTTTACACACCCGGGTGGAGAGAGGCACTGTGTATCTGACTACAGCTTTTAATCTAAAAAAGGTGTCTTGATTCACCTGTTATTCAATGGACAGTTGCACGACACGTTTGTGTACGTATACATTCATTGCACTGTTTCTTTGCTTCCGGTTACTTGTAGTTATTTCCACCGTTTACTTGTACCTTTGGTACCCTGTTTTCTTTCTTTCTTTTTTAATATTAACTCCCCCCCTTCCCTCACCCCTCTCTCTCTCTTCGATTAGTTCTGGAACTTGTTACGGGGACAAGAATTCTTGTAACTGTATTTAAGGAAATAAAATAGAATTAAAGTTATGTTAAGTTAAGCACAGCACTGTCTCACTACTCCTCCTCACCACAGATCAATGCCATACTCTGGAATAAGCAGTATATAGTCTGTCTTTATAAAGGCAGATTTGATTCAGCTGCAGTAAATGCATTTTGTGGGAATAGACGGCAGACTGACTGACCACAAACTTCAAGTCATCCCTATTTCAGCGGTCTCTTGGACCAGAAAACTCACGCTAACAAATGGGTCGGGGGAAAAAACGTCGAAAGTTATTGCCGTCCTTTGAAGCTTGCATGGTTGCGAAAGCTTGCAGTAGTCTGGCTTTAGGAGTAAGGAAAATTGAATACGTACTTATGTCCTGCATTTTAATGGTCATAGGTATGCTAGTTCTTCGGCACAATCACCTCAGAAGTCTTCTCTGAACCTTGAAATGCCGCTAGGACAAGGACAAGACGGCAAATCTTTCCTTAACTTTGGTAAGAAGAGGGAGGGGGGTGAAAAAGCGGGAAGATGAGGAGGGGAGAGAAGGGGTTGAGAAGACATATATACATGCATACTTAAATTTTAACGCAGGTTAAGAGAAAGATCGGCAACCAGGAGCTGATGTGGACCTACGGTAAACCTAATCCTAATCCTGAATCCTAATAAATTGTAAATAAAACCTACAAGATGATAATAACTTATTGTAAAAGATGGAATTGCACACAGTACAAAGCTAAAACTAACGCCGTTAAAATGTAGAGAAACGACGTTGATGAATTGCAGTCAGGTACCGGTGTTATTTTTGTTTTCAAACGGCTAGGACATCTGAAAGACAGGGAAAGGGAAACTGTAGAGGGAGGAAGAAGCGTTGAAGAATCATCTAATTTGATTTTGACACCCACAATNGGGGGGGGGGGGGTGAAAAACCGGAAAGATGAGGAGGGGAGAGGAGGGGTTGAGAAGACATATATACATGCATACTTAAATTTTAACGCAGGTTAAGAGAAAGACCGGCAACCAGGAGCTGATGTGGACCTACGGTAAACCTAATCCTAAGCCTAAATCCTAATAAATTGTAAATAAAATATACAAGATGATAATAACTTATCGTAAAAGATGGAATTGCACGCAATACAAAGCTAAAACTAACGCCGTTAAAATGTAGAGAAACGGCGTTGATGAATTGCAGTCAGGTGTTATTTTTGTTTTCAAACGGCTAGGACATCTGAAAGACAGGGAAAGGGAAACTGTAGAGGGAGGAAGAAGCGTTGAAAAATCATCTAATTTGATTTTGACACCCACAATATCACTCTCTTTTAGCGATGTTCTGTACGCAAATGTAGATACAGATGATAAATATTGTATGTATTAAATGCAGGTTGATTCGTGCAGTGACTAAGCAGCGTTATCTAGGAGCAGTAAAGAAAATTCAGAGTAAAAATAATTCATGCCATGAGCACAATGAAAAGGTCGAGGAAGCAGCAAATAAATCACTTGCAAATTTTTTTAAAAGATCGTGGTATTTTTTATTTTGCCATATATGTATCGATGTGACTCATATATTCGTCACTTGCAAAACGAATTTATGTAATTATAGCGGGACTTGCATAATTAACTATAATTCGCCACGCAAAAAATTTAAGAAAGAAGACGAAAATGATGACCGTGATAGCTGCGTAACTGTTAATTATTACTGATAATTATTGCACAGTCCCTATAGTCCCACCTTGGTATCTTACCGGCCTTGCCTTTGGTGTGGTAGCTTGCCTGCCCTTAAGATCCCTGGAGCTATATCACGGTAGAGCTTTTGTCCCTCCAGTAGGCTCAACCAAGCTGGATAGGTCTAGGTGACGATTCAGACGAAAGACACTCTGGCACTCCAGGTTGGGGGTTGGCCGTAAGGCTGACAACCCTACCCCGAAAAAAGACTAAAAGAAGCCTACACCAGAAACCAAAGATGCACCAGAAGAAACGACGCAATCCAGGTAATTGGATCAATGACTGATGTTGGCTAAAGAAGAAGATGGGAGTTGGCTCCTGGAATGTACGCACCAGGCATCAGGCCGGCAGGGTGGCGCAACTCGTAACCGAGATGCAGAGATACAGAATGGACAGGATCAGGATAAGGAAGCGAGATGGACAGGATCAGGAATGTTGAAGGAATGGAAGCCACCCGGAAAAAGACTCGTCATGGCTAGATTTAAATTTAAATACACTACTGTCACGTGCTACGTACCCACAGAAGATGCTAAGGGAGCGAGAGAGTGAAAGAGCGCTACAGAAAAATATACCGAACCTGGACAAGGAAGTGAAGACGATGGTCAAATGGGACAAGAAGGAATAAATCGAGAACCTAGCTGAAAAGGCAGAAGAGGCTGAAGCAGGGCAAGACCTGAGGACACTGTATATCGTCAGGAAGACGCTCAGGGTTTTATACAGCAGTGGAAACATGTCTGTCAAGGATGGAAAGGGCAAAGTTTTATCTCGAGCAGAAGACCTGCTGAAGAGATGCCAAGAGCAATTCCGCAGTATCTTCAATCCACCAAAACCTGAAAATACGGTTTCGATACCCGAAGCCACTGAAGACACCGACATAAACACCAAACCGCCGTCAGTCCATGAAACTAAGATGGCCATCATAGAGATGAGAAAGACAAAGCGCCTGGAGCATACGGCATGAGCATTGAATTTATAGAAGATTTTCCACGAAATCTGGATTTCCCGCGGTAGACTGGCTTGATCGTGAAGCTTGCGAAACAGGGGGACTTATTTGATTGTAACAAATGGAGGGGCAACACTCTCGATTCTCACATAAAACAAGCAACGTATTCAGTTAGATCATACAACAACGCATAACCTCCGCCCTGGAGAACACCATTCTTAAAGAGCGAGTTGACCTCCGCATAGGGAGATCTTTTAGTGACCATATCTTTACCCTTTGTCAGATCTCGGAACAGGCGAGGGAATGGAACAGCACAACGCTATAGACTTTGAAAAAGCGTTCCACTAATCCACAGAGAAACGTTATAGTGCATCTTAAGACACTACCGAATACCATCTAAGATAATGAATATCGTTAGGATGCTGTACTTCCACGTATTGCTATGCTCAGCTCATCTGCGGAAACAAGTTTACAGAGCTTTTCTCCATCCAAACCGCCGTAAGCCAGGGTCACATATACTCCTTGTTTCTATTCTCTTTTGGTGCCTACTGGGTCATCAAAAACGCAGCGAAAGTTCCACGAAGCATCCGATTACTCTCTCAAACATGTTCAGCGACCTCGATTTTGCAGATTACATCTGCCTCCTAGTTCACTGCCGTACACACATGCAGGCCAAGACCACAGACCTAAAATTCATAACTGCTAAGCTCGGACTCAAGGTCAAACGACGAAACCCAAGCAAGCGAATACACGAGAATTAACCACCGCCCAGACGCACCGATCATCCTGCATGGAAAGGTAGTCCAAGAAGTTAAAGATATCTTGTACCTTAGCTCCAAGATGACCAGTGATGGAGATGCAGGGTCCGAGATCAATGTGAGGATCTTCAAGACAGGGGAAGCTGGCGGGCCTTTATGGTTTGGGATCGAAGAAGGCAAAAAACAGGAGGCAGTGGCGGTCTCTGGTAATGGTCTTATGCGCACAAGGGCACAAAGAGCATTGAGCTGAGCTGAGCCCTATTATTGGTGAGCCGACATCCCAACATACGACTTTCAATAGAGATGGAAGCCGATCATTTTTTTTTTTTTTTTGTCTTTTTAAACTCGGTAACACTGACCCTCATTCTATCGTCACTAGTACCGTTCGGAAGAAAACATTTACGCGTTTACTTACCAGTTAATTTAGCTTTGCACCTCTGTCTTATATCAAATCTGCAGCGTCCTTTTCATCTTCCTAAAGTTAAAGTGAACTTTAATTTTTAATTTTCAATTTTTTTCTGCTATCATACACTTACACCACTATCATTTTACCATCAGGAGTGCGGTTAGACTCTCGGCTTCAAGAATGCCAAGAAGCTCACTGGAAACGATCATTTCCAGATCTTGATTATGCGTTCTTTGGGTACGACGTCTTAAAAGGATATCCACTGGCATCAGGACATGATCCTGGCTTCACTCACCCAATCTTTCTGTCAAAGTATTCATCCAGCAAGCAGACATCTGACTGTCGCTACAGTGTTCCCGAGGGGCTGATTGTCGTACCTGATGTGTCGTGTGTAACCTCGTTTTCCTCCAAAGTGATTCGAAACAAAGTGGAGATGTCCTCGTCTCTTTCCGCATCAGCTAACGTTGAAGGTGCGTCTCCAAGTAAATGCAGCCTGCCGGGACAAGCCAAGTCTAGCCCGCGAACGCAGACGTATTTCCCCCTGTCGCTTGGCTCCGCCGAAGCGACAGCGACAAGCGACAAAGCGACAGCCGGAAATACGTCTAACTGTCTAACTGCGCCCACATTAATCTTGGAACCTTTTTTGGACAAAAACCGAGTAATTTTGAATCTTGACAACCGTCATAGAGAAGCGTAAACAAAATCATGTTACTTCTAGAACAAGAGATGGTCTTCTATTGATCCAGAATGAAGAAGTCAATGAAGTTGTCGATCTTTTTAAATGCGACATTAACGTTCTACTTTTAACTTACACACAATCAATCAAAACCTTAAAAACTGATACTAATATGAAATGATTTTCCACAGGAGGGGGATGGGGCTTCAAGTTTTCCGCCAGCGCAAGCTACAAAGAATCCGTTGCCCAGATGTCGTCAGGGGAGTTCCTGTACATAATTTCACAGGCGCAGTGTCGTTATTACTTTAGCAAACTTGATGCCACTGATCCGCCGCCATTTCATCCAGGGTTTGTGACCTGGGCGAAGAAACTGGCTTCCTCTGATGCTGGTCAAGACGACCTCGTTCAGTTCATAGAATACTTTGGAACTCATTACGTGTCAGAAGTGACTTTTGGAGCACGATTCATGAAACAGCATAGAGTCAGCCAAACGAAATATAAAGAACTGAGAGAGAAGTCAGTAAGTGTAGAGGCACAAGCCAGCTATTCTGGTATGTTCAGTGTTGGAGGAGGCTTTTCATTGGATTCAGAGCAGAGATCCGCCGCTTCCAACTTTCAAAAGTCCGTGGAAACCAGCACTATAACTGTGGGAGCAGCTCCTCCTAGTAATGGTGATGCTATGACTTGGGCTTCATCCGTTCAGGAAAACCCAGTTCCAACAAAGTACTCTCTATCACCCGTCTATGACCTTTTCACTGAAAGGTACGCCGAGTATCTTCCTGGGATTGATCTGAACGCCATGCGAGAGAAACTGATTAACACTTCAAGGAATTATTGTCGGATTTTGAGAGGAAAGGGAGAGATAGATTCATGTGATGATAGCATTAATCTGGGGACAACTCTTCAAGGCGTCGACGTATCATCATTTGGTAAATATTATCACTAGGTTTTGTAGTGTTATTATTTGATCCATTTTCCCCCTCCTATCATTGGCCAAGATCGCACCACTTGACCCGCAGATAACTGTCTACAAATAATGGTCTGCTTATGCGCAATACCGTCTAAATGATGTAAATCTGAAAGCAAACTTGGTAATCGAATTATAAAACAATTATTGAACTCGGTTATCGCAAAATGTCGTGAGTTTTCAGTGTTTCGCGGATCGATTATTTGCCTCAGCCTTCGGCTTCGGCAAATTATAATTGATTTGCTTACCATTCCTGACTAATCACGATATTTTGCTCAGTCTCGTCCAATAAATGTTTAATCTCTGCAGTAAATAACAACGAATGATGAAAACATTGAGTCTAAAGTCGACCCCAGATTGTAAAGTGGGGATGGTAAAACTCATTTTGAGGGAGGAGTAGGAGAGGAGAATCTGCTTACCTGTATCTTGCAACTTTTCTCAGGACGAGCCCAAATATTCAAAAACAACTAATACACGAGGCTTAAGCGAGACGCCCTACATGTACCGTACACGAAAGCATCTCACTCTTCCAATTCTCTTCCATTTGTTTCACTTAAATGGTTAGTAAAACGAGTTGATTATACGTTAGTTCTGACGATTTTTAGGCATTGAGAAGCCTAAGAGTTTCCAAGACATATAGTATTGTGTCATCTTTTTTTGTGTTAACCAAGATTCTCTTCGTTTTATTTTTTTCAGGCTACAGGTATTTGACAAACGTAGACGAAGCAGGATGTCGAGCAAGTTGTCTTCTGGAGGACACCTGTCTTGCAGTGCAGTACTCCACGGACACCAGAGGCTGTAAACTCCTGGACACAAAACCGAGATCGGTCGAGGACAAATCGACGTCCAAAATAGTCGTTTTCCTGCCACGATTACAGCGAGAAAGGGACACTCTTGTTTTTGACGACCTGAAGGTCAAGACAGATCAGCAACCACGTCGCTCCGAGATAGCTGGTAACATTACGGTGTGCAATATGTCTTGTTCCCAAGACGCCTTCTGTGCAGCCTTTGTCTTCTGTCACCGTGATGCAGGAAGCTGGTGTACGACCTCCAAGAACTGCTTGCTGTATTCAAAACAGCAGGTCGCAGCTGTTGAAAAAGATGAGTATTCCGTGATGTATTTTGTATGGAAAAATTACGCTCTCGTTACAGACAAAGGACAAGTCCAAGTGAACAGACGGAAACGTAGAGTAGCACTAGACGAAAGGAAAGATGTGTGACCAGCTTTAACATCAATGACGATCCCTGCTTGCTTGGCAGGAGCAGATTCCGGATTTTTCGAGGACGGGGGGTGGGAGCGGGGGTATTTGGTGGTACCTTGAGATTGTCAGATTCAAATAANCTTCGGCAATCTTCACTAATCTTCGGAAAATATTCAGAAATGTTCGACAAATGCTCAGAAAGGTTCGTTTGGCCTTCGGAACAATTTTGGAAAATCTTCAGAAATCTTCGGTAAGTGGTCAGAAATCTTCGGAAAAACGTCAAAAACGGCGTCAGCAGCATGTCTATATAATAAAGAGCATAATTTACACATTAGCTTGAAGATATGAATTTTATGTTCTCGTGGCAAAAACAATATCTCACTCGTTTGCGGCACACACTCGTTAGATATACTGTAGTTCTTGCCACTCAAACATAAAATTCATATCCTCTCGCCACTGTGTAATATCTTCTATGTATTCGATTCTTCCGCCATTTTGAATGTAACTGATTCAGATCTGATTTTGTCTCAGTACAAGTCACTGGTATTGAAAGACAATGCCACTTCATAAAATAACTCCATTTCCAATCAAATATTTTTTTATTTATTTACAATGACAATGAAATTATCAAATACATTTCAATTACGCTATTTACAGAATGTACTTCCAGAGAATTCCCTGTCACAGGGGCTAATTTCTTTTCTTTCATCGTAAAAAAACTTAGTGAAAACATGTTAAATATTAATTAAATAGTTAGGAATATTTTATACTATTGGTCTATATAATAAGTCAAATGTATAGTTGCACTCTAATCTCTATACATCTTTTTGTAGTTGCAGCTCATTTTCTTAATATAATGTATCTGTCAATAGCACTTTGTATATTTTTCTAAAGCCAAGTTTGCATTTATCAACAAATGAATGCATTCCAGCCTATAATTGAGCAACGCAAACTTGCTCAAAACTCACAGCTTCGACTTGTAACTCTGAACAGTGATATTATCCAGTTTCTCCTTACAATTCCAAAACACTTAAAAAACAGGCATGCGATGAGACTAGCAAATGCCCTTGGGGGTTTGTCTTAGTGTATATTAAGGTCCTCCTCTTACATTTTAAAGGAGCTATTTCCACAATATGTGGCTCCAGAAAATATATGTTGTGGCTCAATATTTTCTCTCTTAGGTGATACCATATTTTGGCATTTTCCTTTGTCTGGGGTTTCATCTACACTTTCAGCAGGAAGGTAATTGGTTTTCACAGACAAGTAAATCTTTCTGAACTTCTTTGTAAGAAAAACAGTCCTCCAGATGGCCAAACCAGGCAGACAAAATGGCCTCACTGCTGGTCAGTTTGCCCAGGGCCCAACCCCTCTCATATATAGCAATAATTATTATATGATATAATTTGAATATAAAACAAAGAAAAATACCAGATTGAACCAAGGGTAAGATTGTCCCACAACATTTCCATACTCACCCCAAGAAGGCATTGCGGCGGATCTAGGATTTTTAAAAAGGGAGGGGGGGGGGCTGGTACCTTGGGGTTGCAGAATCAATGAGACATGCCTCCAAAATGTTGCAGAAATACTAGCAGTGTTACAAACTAGAAATTAGAATGAGGTACCAATGTCCTGTCAATGTCTGCCTATATTTCTGCCATAATATTCACAATCTTCTCCAAAAGGGGGGGGTAGCTAGCCACCTAATGTACCCCCCTCCTAAATCCGCCCTGGAAAGTTATTAGGGAGTTTTTGCAAATCATGACGGCAACAAGAACGCCACCAAACAAAAGGTTTAATGAAGAAAACAATAGCTGTACACATGCATTTAGAATCTTGGTACATTTCTAAGCCGTCTTCTACAAAACAACTACGTGAAATGACCAAGTTCTACATATTTTGGAGAACACGAACCACAATGGCTAATTTTTCGTATCTTTCTTCGGAATTGCATATTTCGCCTGAGCATGTTTTTAGACCAATAGGTGTACTGCAAAGATCTACACAGTTGAGACATGCAAGGTAAAATATAAATCATTTTTTAGAAGGCCTCTCCCTCGCCCTCACCCTCGCCCTCACCATCATCATTGCTAAAACTCCCTATTGGAAATTTCAGAGGGGCAACTCAAAAACCAAGCTTTTTAAAGGAAGGGAGGAACCAAAAGGTAGTCCTTCTTTTGCGTAGTCTGTTGAGCGTGACGCAAAAAATATAGCTTGAGAAAGGGCGGGGGGCGGGGGGGGCTGCTCTTAAAATCTGGGGGAGAGAAGTGCACTAATACCCCCAGATTTCACACTGCTATTTTTTTTCTTGCGCTTTTCTTTGTACATCACGATCAATGGACTAAGCGAAAGAGGACCTAATCATAATCTACCTTTAAAAATGAAAAGGTAACAATCAGTTCTGCAATTCTATACAATTGCATGAAGGTGGGGCTAAATTGCTATTACAACCGATCCAAGCTAAATCGAGCAAGTTTTTACAAACAGGTAGCTATCTCGAGTTTCATCAGAAAAAAAATATTAGTTCTCATTGTTGATTGTGCTGCAATCAAGTTTGGTGCTAGATTAATTTTTCATTATTGTTTGCACAAGTGTTACTTTTACTAAGTATACTCTAATTAATTAAGCAATGGACTGTATAGTACTTTTCCAGAAGTTATCGGTTACAACAAATCTTCAAGAATTTCTGGTTCTTCATGTCCATGGGTGCCATTTTGTCCATTTTGTTCTGGCTCATCAGACAACTTTCTCCACACAACCTGAAAGAGATTGAAAAACAACTTCTGTTAATAAATATTAAATTTTAGATCTTGACTTATAATGATACGTACCATGTAACAAAATAAATAAATCTCACAATGGAGCACATTTTCAGCATGACCACCATCTTGCAAGCCTCAACCCAGTCCTTCTTCACAGGTACTTCAAAAGTGCCAAGAAGTGGCCACCATTTTGTTAACACTCACACACTGCTAGGCTACTCACTATTCACAAAAGAATAGATAGTGAGTAGCATCAGCAATAACAGAACAGCATTCATGATGGAGTGCCAGTAGATTTATACTAAAAGCTGACAGATAAAATTGTACAATATAAGCTCTGCCAATCAGATTGCAGTATTCACATTAATAAGCATACTACTAATAATAATTGCTATTACGTGGTTTACCAGCAATCCTGTTACAATCATGTACTTACATTGCACATTTCTTTAAGGACTTCCACTTCGTTATTACCTAATCTATCTGCTGGCACATCAGTGTCAGCAGAATGATCAGGGTGTTCTAGCCTCTCGTGTATTTCTAGCACTTTCATGGCTTGAGCCACAGCCTCTGGTGTCATGTGCTGAGGGGATGGGAAAGGAAGTTCCCCCTGGAAGTACATGTATTAAGAAAGATTTATTCACTGAAAAGCAAGGTGGCACCAGCTTGAAGAAAGCACTGACAAAAGTATGGCCTAATGTCGACATTCCCAGTTGTACTATCTGTCATCACATACATGCACATCTGTCAAGCAAACATATCATGGAGAAATCTCTTAACTGCATGTAGCAGATTTTTGAACATAGTCACTGGCAGTTACAAATTATCCAAGTTAAGAAATAATTTCATAAAAAGCAATTCTTCAATGCAGATCAGCAAGTAGATTAACAATATAATAAGAAATTCAGGTTTGACTCTAGAAGAGTAAAAAATGCTTTTTAATTTTATTAAAATTTTTTCTTAAAAGACCATATAATACAACTGGTATACATGTATAATGTAAGTTGGATACCTGTTTGGGAAGTGGTTTCATTCCATTTCTCAGGATTCCAGGTTGACTCCCATCTAGAACACATAATTAAATAACTACAAGTAAACTTCAATACAACATTGGCACATGAACAAACAAAATATTAATGAGTTCTATAATGTTAAATATAGACCCTTTTCATAAATGGCTGCCAATTTAAAATTCTTTTGTATGCATATAAATTAGTCTCACTAACCTCCTTTCAGAGTAAAAATTCTTTTGAATTACCAACTTCAAAATGAGGTTAGTAAGGCTAATTTTACTACTTGCAAAAGAATTTATAATTGGCCGCCATTTATGAAAGTAGTCTATATCTGTTGCTGTTTATAACCTGAAGATATTTTGTACAGTGTACCCTGAGAAAAACTAGTCCAACTTACAATATTTACTCTTGAATATTACACAACCACAATATCACCACATTGCAATCATATACCTACCAATTCTTACGCCTTTAGTTGCGAGTCTCACACCTGCAGATTGAAAACTTCAATCTCACGCCAGCTCATGCTTATGAGCCAAATTCTCATGCCTGATTGAAAAATGTGAGTGGTTGCAGCTTTGCTTGACACAATTTCCAAAAATATGTAAACTCAAACCAATAATTTCTAAGAAACGAAAACAACGTGTAAATGACGATACATGTACTTCCTTCTTCAAATAGAAAGCACTGGGAGCGAGGTTGCGTTTAGCAATATCAGAGCTGTTTCCGCTTCCACTATTGTATGCAAATTTTGGAAGACTTTGGATGTCTTTGGAAGTTTTTGGACATCTTTGGGAATCTTCGGATATGTTTTGTTGTCTTAGAAAAACATGGCAATCCAAGGATAAATATCTAACGCCTATAATTCAGAAAAAGTTGCAGGTATACATACATGTACAATCATCATCAGTTCTCGTTAGAAATTACCATTTCTTGTCTGGCCATTCAAAAAGTTTACTCATCACAGAAAATACCATAAAAAGGATTTAAAATTTTATAGTTGTGTAATCTATATTTTCCACAAAGGACAAAAAGGTTATCAATCAATTTGCCACATTAAGAACAAATAACTAAGAGCAAATATGCGACAACTCTTATCTCACAGTCACCATTTGTTTCTCCCCTGCAGCAGTCCCACAAGCAATCAACTGCAAGATGAGACTCGCCCCAAATAAGTACACTTACTTTTTATTCCATTGGTTCTGGAAATTCTTGGTGGGGTGTCACTTCTCATGCTATCTGTATCCTATAGAAGATTATAATACTAATTTTAGCTACTGCTAAATTTAGCAGTTTGGTTTTCCCAAGATTTAGCAGGTATTTAAGAGCCTGTTCACATAGAAGCAGGGGACCCCGGGAGGTGAGGCACCTCACTTACCTGTGGTCAAGAAATACTTGTCTTCACATGCAACCTCCGGGACGCAGTGTGAGGTCCAAAATGCAAATTGCACGGTCGCATGTAACTTTGTATTCTTTATTGTTCAGGAGTCCCTGCCCTGACTTTCGGCGGTTTTCGGTTTGACCTCTTTGCAGATTTTGTTCTGAGGTATGTTCGTTTGTAGTTTGTTGCGATGAAGCTGCTTTTCGCTTCAATGTCGTTGTTACAGGCAAAACTTCAGTTTGATTCCGCTGATTGGCCTGACTATCCAATTCCACGCTTAAATTTTCACCAGCATCGTCAATTCCATCAACGTTTTGGTGGTGGAATCGTAAAAATAACTCGCCACACTTGTAGCAGTTGGCAGCCATGTTGATCTGCCATGTGTTTTGGTGGGCTTTGGCGCAGTGATTTGATTACCCCGGTTAGGCAGGTTACCCTACTCTGCAGCTTTCACATGGAGAAAACTCACCCACCAAAGCTGGTTACCTGAACCAGCTGACCACGTATCCCGCCTTGGTGGGGTACCCCACTTAACATGTGAATGCGATCAAGAAAAAAAGAGAGAATGTATCAAAAGATTAGTTACCCCGCCAAGGCGGGTGACGTCACCTTCCTGAGGTCCCCCACTTCCATGTGAACAGGCCCTAAAGTAGAGGTATGTGTGAATGGTAAGTGCTAGCTGTAGTCAACTTTTGCCCACAAGTGCAATTTGATTCACACGCACAAAATGTTTGTAAATCTTGCTAGTCTCAATGTGCGGAAAAAAAAGAGACCGGGAGATTAATTTCATCAACATGTTTGTCAGGCATGGTATATATACTGGCTGATATACATGTACAATGGCTGCCAAGCCATTCAAACCTCTGAAAATAAATTTATCCAATGCTCCAGTTTCTAGATATAAATCTTATTTTATGGTATATTATAAGCTAATTTTCATATTGCCGAATTTAAACAAACTCACTTTGTTCCAAAAGTTATAAATGTACTGACAAACATGTTCAGTAAATTTCTATATTCAATTTGGCAAAAGAGACAGTTTCCCAGAGGAATGTTTTTCTGGGATTGCAGTGCAATATACCCACAACAATTTCTTTCCAAAAATTGTTATTCTGCAAATAAAGAAACACAGCTTGAAGGCCATCTGAATAGAGACATCTATTGATTATAAGTCTTTTTTAAACCTGTACTTCTGGTTTTTAACTTGATACTTGGGACAAATTGACTGATTTAAATGATCAGTTTACTGCCCCACAACTCAAGAATAACCACTCTTAACTTTGTAATATTGTAGCACCTTTTATGGATATGATAATAAGTGTAATTTACATACCAGGGCAACATGACCAGCTCTCCCGCTGGCATTCACACAATAGCCTATAAAACTAATCTGAAATCTTCAGAGATGACATTTTATTAGCAAAAATCCATCTCCTACCGTATCTATATCCCCAGGAAAGGTAAACGAAACCCTCTTCTTCGCGACGTCAGCCTTTTGAGAGGATATAGGGCTGTCCTTTGGATTGAGTCAAGAGACCACAGTTAGTCTAGACCGCAATATGTCACGACGCCCAGCTAGTCCCCCTAAGCAAGCCATGAATAATTTGAAATAATACAAATCTAGCGGAAAACCGCCAAAAATTGAAACAACAGAATAGCGCACGCAGTTGTAAGAGGTCATTTGTCAAAATAATGAACTTTTAATAGCCATGTGATGTCTTAGAAATCTTGGACGATTTTCACACTCGATCTTTCATCGCTAACGTTGGTCTTTGACCCATTTTGTCAACATGCAATGAACATCTTCGATATTGTAACACCGGAATCCTGTTGTCCGTGAATGTTTGTGTGTTTTTGCAAAACACCTTCGAGTGTCTGCGCTGTTTTCAACTCGGAAAGTCGTGTTTCGGTTGATTAGAATATAATTTTCATTACTTAATACGCACATTGTTTGTGAAGTGTTACCGAACAGAAGATAATTAAATGTTCGACACACGCCCCGCTCGCGATTCATGAACATGTACACGTTTCAACTCAGAATATCGAGGTGTAACTCTGTCGGCCTACTATACGTAGCACAAAACATAATAAATACTGTAAATTTTATGTAAGTTACCTTTACCAAAGTCTCGCTGTTGGTTCCCACTTGTTGTATGTCCGTCAATTTCGCTTCGAGCCTCTCAGAAAAAGAATTTCTGCGGTCGTCAACAAAATCTGCTAAAATTAGAAAGTTCTAAGTGAGTTCCACCGGTATGTAGAGTGTCTAAATGGAACCCACTTAAATTAAATCGGAAACCATTTTATATCTCAATTTCGTAAATCGCTACTTTGGTGTGATCAGATAATCCCCGAACCGATTGAATTGCATTCACCGAAAATAGCCGGGCAATAGCCACATGTACATGTACAGACAACTACATGAAACTGTTCACGATATTAAGATGCATCCATAAAATTTGAAAACCACAAATCAACGAGATACCTGTACTGTTCTGTTTCGCGGAATATAAACTCTGGTTACTCGAGACCCGCTGCGAACATTTACTGCAGACGGTGCGATTTTCGAGCGCGACTGATTCGCGCTTTCGATCAAGATAGAGACACAACTCCTTCAACTCAGCATTGTCCTTTGAAAGCTCGCTTTGCTTCTCTTCTAAAAGCTTCAACTTTTCTTGGTAATTTGCGACTTCATTGCGCATTACAGATGCCGTGTACCGTCCAAACCTCTGCCACTCGCGAGCGAGTTTTCGGCATTTTTGGCGATCGTCATCCAAATAACATGTCAAATCCCTAAGTTCTTGCAGATCCGCCTGTAGCTTTTGATTCACGTCTTTCAGTAAACGAATTTCTTCCAAATGAACCTGCATTCTCTTGTTAAACTCCTTCATTAAATTTCCTTGGTCCGTCATTACTTTGAGTTTCTCTGCTTCGCATTGTTTTACTTTGTCCACCATCTTCTCGTATTCTTCCCGAGACACATAGTTCATCTGATAGTTTTCTCTTCCCTGCCTGTCTAACGCACTCATAGCGGAAACCTTTCAGGAAAACGCCGGATGGTTTCCTCTCCTCGAAGGAAAGAAAGCAAAAACCCAAGGACTCGTCCTTCTCATCTGGAAAGCTTCCACGAATAAAAACTCCCGCTATTCTCCAAGCAAACTTCGACGGTTCGAGAGATGATGAGTGAAGTCATTTGCTACCAGCCAATCAGGACACAGTGTGAAGACCACCGTGACCACAAGTTGACAATTCAAGATGACCAAGAACCAATTATTCGCACCATTACCTTTTGTAGAATAACAATGGTTCACGAAATATTTTCGAATGTTTTTCAATTCAAAGTACAGACCGGCGAAAGTGTGGTTTTTCTGTAATTGTTCAGCGAATTGTTTCTTCCAAACCGCACGATTTGTATTTTTGCTTCCTAGCCGTCGGACATGCGTTAGAATAAATAGATCTTTATACCATGAAAATTGCATAAAGGAAGTTGAATAAATTTTTGAGAAACATTTTTCTCTTATTTCTGCCCTGTTTCCTTCGGTTTGTTGTTGGGGACGCTCTAGGGATGCTAACATAACGTATTTTATAGTTACTGTTACTGCTGACCACGAAAAACGCGGGAGATAAGAAAAGCAATGTGGCCGTTCGTCTGCATCACAGTTCGCGCATTCTGAAGCTGTTTGTAATTTCCAAGTTTGGGGTTGTTGAGCCGTTTCTTGTCGAAGCAGTTAATCAACGATTCCTTCAAGAAACCAAGCATGTTGAAAGAAAACCACTTTCGGGTGTGCAAAAGGTTGGCTTGTGTTTCAAGCCTGGTCTCTGGAAAGCAACGTGCAACGAGCTCGCCACTACAGACATCGATAAATTCAAGAACTTTTTCAGCAGGAGTCAATGTTCTGTTCAAGGAAACCTGTTGTCAACATCTGAAAGTTTTCGATAGAAACTGCGTTCTACCTTGTGATGCAGAAAGAGTAAAGCTGTGTTCAAGAGGATCACAATCGCGTACATGCATTGCAAATAACTGCCTTAATTTACTCTCAGCGCGTTCATTGTTTACATCTGCTTCGACTCGAGCAAACACGCACACGACCACTGGACGAAATTTAACAGACAGCAGGAAAACAAATCTAGATTTAAAAACTAAAACAGCGAGGAAACCTCCAGCTAAGAATCCTACCATCGGGTCACGTCGAACCAGCAATCAAAAGGTAAAGAAAGGATCAATCAGCTGTTATGTAATCACCAAGAAGATACTGTAGACACAAAGGGGCGGGCGGGGGGGGGGGGGGGGGGGAGGAGAAAGAGAATTCGGGGAAAAAAAACGGAGGAGTGGGTGAGGGGGGTGAGGGGAAAAAGGAATGCCTGCNGGGGGGGGGGGGGGGGGGGGGGGGGGGGGGGGGGGGGGGGGGGGGGGGGGGGGATAAATAAACTTCCTATTAATACGCTAATGGGGATGTGCCACAGGATGGCATTGCATTTTCATGAGTGAATTGACTTTGATGGGGTTGGATTTTCAATAGATGTACTAATAGTGTACGGGTACAGATTGAATTGCATGATTTGCATTAGTATACTAGTAGAATTCTGCTAAAATGGGATAGGGGTTCTGAGATGCTGGTGGCACATACCCAGCAAAAATTGACCTAAGTACCTTCCTTTGGTGAAATGGAAAGCACCTCTGTAGCCTTGTGTTTTTTGTCTTTGCTGAGGAACAGTCAAACCTGGACAAGTTTTCAGTGGCAGATCTAGGGGAGGGGCCCCCATATTTTGGGTAAAAGAAAGAAGAAATTGGAAAAGGAAGAAAATCTGGCAGGGTAAGTAAAACAACAACCCCCCTTAGCTCAAGGTTTGGATCTGCCATTGGTTTTGTTAGGTGACAGGGAACTGGAAACGTTGATGATTGTCAATTTGTAACTTTGGTCCAATGTATCCCTGCAGTTGAGTGGAAGATCAAGAGAACAAGCAGTCCCTGCCTCCAGAGTAGGACGACTGTGGAACTATGGTGGTATGTCCCTTAGAAAAAAGCAAGAGTTGTAATAAATTTCTTGATTAAAGAGCGTGAAGGAACATTCTGGCAAACTGTCAGTAAGGAGACAACCTGCATAGCAAATATTCTGTAGGAGCAAAGCCTAGTTACATGAAAATTGAGGGAAGAGCAATTGATAGAGTCTGGGGTGGCTGGGTGAGTCAGGCCCCTTCACCACCCCAACCTGCCCTCCTCTTATTGATTTTTTATCCTCTCACCCCTAGTACAGCCAACTTTCACCTTGCAGACACCTCACTACTACGGACGCTCACTATTACGGAATTATGGACACTTTCATGGTACCAAAGTGACAACTTTATTGTTTTGATTCTCAATAAAACAGACACCACGTACTTCTCATATATAACATAATTATGTAAAATTACAGTCTGCTGTTCATCATTTGTCAAAATACACTTCAAAAGACTTCTGGAATGTTTATATTCACATCAATTCTTTTTTTTGACATTGTCTATGTTATTTATTGCATGTTAAGAGCACTCTTTATCTCACACCCGCTATTACAGACTTTCACTATTACGGAAACTAAATGACATCCCTGAGCTTGTCCGCCATAATGAGAGTTGACTGTATCACATAAGACTTACAAGTATATAAACATTCTTGGTTGAAGAGCTTAGTAAAAGGACACTTTGAGAAACTGTTAGTAGGAACATAGTCTACATAGCAAATGCTCTGTAGAAACAAAGTCTGTTTATGCAGAAATTGAGGAGGGGGGGAGTGTAAAAAATTGACAGAGTCAGGGGTGGTTGGATGAGTGGTCCCACCACTCCATCTTCATTGATTTGTTGCTCTTGCCCCAATTTTCATGCTAAATCTAGCTCCACAAATTTATTTGTGAAGTAATTAAAGACAGTTATTATTTTGTTTTACTTTTTGTCTTTTTGTAGTTGTGTCCATGTCTTGTATGTTTCATAATAGTGTGGGGTTACCAACAGTGATATGTTATTTGTAGTTCCGTTTCACGGAACTTAAATAATAACATTCTTTTATTTTTTTTGTTTGCAGGCCTGGTTGCTGGGTTGGGTCTTGGTGCCCTGGCTGAGGTCACTAAGAGACAGCTTGGTCTTGGCAAGGAAGGTAAGTAAGAGAGCTTCAATCATTCACTTATTTGTTTTTTTAGTCAGCTGAAAAAAGCAACCTACGGAAGTTGTGACACTTTAAAGTAGTGGTAAGTTAAACTGTCTTATTATGTAGTCAAACCTGCAGTTGCAACCACCTCTTGCAAGTGACACCTTTCCTCAGTGACCAGTTGACTTTTCACCAATTGACTTTTTATATGAATAAAACATGAATAAATGAACAAAATCTCTGCAGTTACCATATGTTAATGAGGCAAAATTTTAACTGTAATATGGTCTAGTAAGCTCTCGTAAGCATTCACCTACATGTAGGCTTGACATTTTGGGTGGTCACCTATGGGAGGTTCAACTGTAAATTCGTTTGATATTGTCCATATACTTTGTTGCAGGACCTAGTGTGGCAGAGCTTGCTGGAAGTCCATTTCTGTCAGAAGCAAATGCTGAAAGAATTGTGAGCACTCTGTGTAAAATGAGAGGAGCAGCATTAAAATTAGGTCAAATGTTGAGCATTCAAGGTATTTATTATGATGATTGCATTATTTTTTGCCAAAATTATTATTAATAATGATTTATTATTAATCGTAATAAAATTGCTGTTTCTTCTTCTTTTTTCAGACAACCAGTTTATTTCACCGGAGTTGCAGGCAATATTTGAGCGAGTTCGTGACAGTGCAGACTTCATGCCACGCTGGCAGTTGGAGGTAGGTCAATGGGGGCATGCCATAATTCAGACTAATGAAATATTTAATAAACATTTTTTCACTGATTGCTTTGTTCAAATAGTATGTACTGTCAATTATATTAACATATTATTTATAAGATAAGTCATTAGAATAGCCTTGAGTAATGTTACATAGTTAATGATCAATGTTTTGACAACTTGGTGATATATAATGTGAAAGCTCACAGCTTGTTGCCATCTTTTGGGCAAGGTTGGTTACAAGAGCTTAGAAACAAAGAAAAGCCCATTGTGTGGTAGAGATTTTACAATGTGGTGTTTACTATTTTTTGCTGAGAATTTTTGTAACAGGATTTTATGAAGGTAGTGTTAGAGGGGTGAGGGGAGCTGGTTGCTTTCGAGAGAAAAGTTCCCAGAAATGTCACGGACTGAACACTAATGAGATTCAAATTCCCCATGATAAGCATCACAAAGTGTCCTCATTGGTAAAAAGTCACCAAAACACACACAATTCTGTCAAATATGAAGTAATTTATGAAAATGTCAAATAACCCTGCCAAATATGAACTATTAATAAAACAATACTTGTGTTCAATCCTGGACATAAGTGAAAGTTCTGGGTGTGTTTAAGTAGTCTCTGTCTCAAACTAATTGTGATTGGTTGGCTGTTTCTAAGCTTGATCCAGTTCCTAGGTGGGAAAGATGTTTGTTCATTTCATTGTTTACAAGTTTAATACTTTGCTCACACTTGGACTATGGGTCAGCTATTATCAGATACACTACTGAAAAACAGTACTTATTCTGAGTTCAATAGCATTCTGTCAGACTTCATATTTCCATGTATTTTCTGTATAGATCAAGTTAAAAATTCATTTTTAATTAATTTTTAGTTTTTTGTTATTTTGTTGTTGTTGTTGGTTTTCCTTTATGGTCAAATCAGGTACAGATAGATGTTGACTAAATTGAAAGAGGAATTAACATCTTTTTTTTTTCTTATCACAGAAAGTCCTAGTCAAGGAGTTAGGAGCTGATTGGCATGACAAGCTTTTAGAATTTGATATGAAGCCCTTTGCTGCAGCATCCATTGGCCAGGTCCATAGAGGAGTGCTCAAAGATGGCCGTCCTGTGGCCATAAAGATTCAGGTACATATGTATAACGTGGACAGGCAAAAGTAATTGCCTAACATAAAATTGTGGTTCTCGAGGGCCCAATTTAATGCCAAAAAGGTGTGGGTATGCAGGGCTCGAAATTAATTTTTTCGTCTGGGAGCCAGCTGGCGACTAACGGAAAAATTTTGGTCGCCAGATTGTAAATTTTGGTCGCCAACTTATTTTATATATAACTTACACACAATTTTATACATTACTTTGCATGCAAGAAAAGTCACAGTTGAAGAGCAAAAACAATTAGAAACAACATGAGTAAAACTTGGTTATAAAGCTACCGTTGCTCTGAGATGATATGTCTCTGGTCCAAAGGTGATGGTTGTCTCCATAGTCATTTTAAATGAAGCGAAGCATAAAACGTTTTAAGTCCGTGGTTTTCATTGTGAGACAAACACAGGTCCTTGGGTATTTTCCCTTTGCTACTTCTCACGTAATTCCTTTAAATGATTGATATCTACCGCCATTTTCGCGGCAAATAAAAAGAACATGGTGTTGAAGTGCGCCTGCGATCCCAGTTTTCAAAGAAGCCGCTGAAACAATATGGCACGCCATGAATGCAGCATCTTTGTGTCAAAACACACTCAATTTTTTCGATTATCTTGTAATATTCAGACATTATTTTACTGGTGACGGAAAGGTGAGTTGTATGCTAGCTATCATATCCGTTTGATTTCCTAATATAAAGATTTAAAAACAAAAGTTGTGTCATGGTTTTCTTTAGTTATTGGACAAAACGCAAGTCGCCAGCTGGTGACCAGTTCTGAAAATTTAGTCACCAGTGCTCAATTTTTGGTCGCATTGGCGACCAGTGAGTCGCAATTTCGAGCCCTGGTATGAGTCCAGGCCGTCGTCTTTTGGGGATTAGGGCAGGGAATCTTTAGGAAAAATGGTGCTCAGTCATGCATCGCATGGAGTCAATCCAGTGTAGCCTGAGACCAGTTAGAGAAGATTGTAAGAAACTAGGAGAGACCATGAAGATTGTTTGACAATCTTTCATTCCCTGGGAGTTCAAGGGGTTATGTTTGCTTCTTAATGAAGCTTCTTTACTCAAGCATAACAAAAATCACTTTCTGACTTGAATGAATTATACGATCATCTTACATGGCCATTCATTGCTATCATTTACAAATTATGCTAGCCTTGTAAGTATCATACTCCTTGTTATCACCCTTAAAAATTATTAATATTGCCAAATCATGGTGGACTACACCTTATATCATAGTTGTGCAGGGAAAATGGCTATACAGTTGAACCTTTTTGATTGGAATGCAAAGGACTATTGAAACTGCCCTTTAGGTCAGGTTGTCCTTTAAAATGGGTTATTTTCAGAGAAATTAATGAACTACCACCAGCAACAAGTCTTAGTCTGTATGAATGATATGTTTGTATTTACTAGCGGATACCCTCAATGAGGGAAGGGCTCAAATATAATTGTCTAGTTTGTAAACAAGCTTGTTATTGACAAGCTCGTTGTTCATGTCTGATTAGTATCCTGGAGTTGGCGAGAGTATCGACAGTGACATCAACAACTTGATGACTGTGTTGAAAGTCAGTAATCTTTTACCAGAAGGTATGTCTTTCGTTGTGACCCATCGATACAACATGCAAATATATTCAATTTGGGGCATTTTGTTGCGGGTATGGCTTTAAAGTCCCAGCACTTATCTATAACATGCCCCACTTCCCCATAAACACTACCCCCACCCTAGCTAGAATGGTAGTCGTATAGGTAGATAGCTGTAACAATCCTACTAAGTTTCCTTTTTTGGGAGGGGGGAGGGGTGGGGGAGAAATCTGTTCTAGTAGTGAAGATATTTTGTTCAGTATGAACATACCGGTAGTTAATAGTGTGGAATGGTTATAAAACTCAACAAAGTTCTTTGTTGTACGTGTTTGTTCTCTTTTTTGGCATTGACCCTGCACAAAACACAATAGTTATTTACTCCGTACTGAGGAACTAACCAATAGAAATGTGTTTGGTTATGTAATTCATGCATAGTGTATGAGCCCAAAACAAAAGATTGTGCAGGGTCATGGACCTTCCAACATAAATCTTGGCAACTTTGTTTGCTCCTTTGATGTGTGGCAGGCTTCATAACCAGTCCCCTCTAGCTATTAACTATGATATGAAATATTGAGCTTTTATTAACCAGTTACAGCACTGTTAGTTAAAAGTTACATAACTCAAAACAGATACACTTTTTAAAATCTACATGTATTAATATATACAAGTGTGCCAAGAACTGTTCAATAAGTACCTGATTATAATCTGTCTGTCTGATAGTCCTGTCTCTGGTCTTCATCAGGGCTTTATGCAGAGAACGCCATTGATGTGGCTCGACGAGAGATGGCTTGGGAAGTTGATTATCTCAGAGAGGCAAAGAATGGACAGCATTTTAGGTGAGTCTGAAACCCTAACTAAACTCAACATTTTCTCTGTAAATCCATCGATATGTTCGGCAAAATTTGGGCATCAGTTAGTCTGCTTAGCTAAGTTACATAGTCTGTTATATTGCTGATTTACATGTGGTCTAGTAAGAAAACAGATGTGCAGATATGCCTTTCAGGTATATCTGTATGCCCATGCCAAAGCTTGGACACACACCAAACCCTTAAATGTACAGCCTGTCAGTTCACTGCCTGTAGGAACACTTAATTAGGTCAAGGCTCTATTAAAACTTCAGGGAACTGTTACAAGACATGCCAGACTTTTATGTTCCGGAGGTCATTGAAGATCTCACGTCTAAACAAGTGCTGACTACTGAGCTGATACAGGGTACGTCACTTGACAAGATTGAAAATCCAGACCAGGACACTATAAACAAGGTAATGTGCAGAAAGCTAACAAACCATCCATGTTGCTTCAGAAGAGCTTTGAACTTACATGTAGCTTTTAAGTTTTCAGTGTAGTTGGACCTTGAAAATTTGTTTGTTTTATTATAGGTGTTGTTGAAGTTGATATGGTATGTTTGGTTCAGTTTATACCCTTGGTACAATTTGGTGTTTGTCTTTGTTCTGTTGTATGGTAATATGCATGATAACGGTTCATATAAAAGAAAGGACAATACCAAGTTGTACCTGTATGTAGGGTAAAGTCACATCTTTCTTTTTATGTCAGCCATTTTGAATTTAAATTAATTTATGCAACTAGCCATTGCAAGCTTATTGAAGTGGGGAATTTTTGGGAGCTGCTTAGTACTCTGAGAAATAAACAGGTGTTCGGTCAGGTGTCAAAACAACTGTCTGTAGGTCTCTCATCAGCTGAATGCATTTTAAAATGGCCTCCATGAAGCAAATGATACTTAGACATCAGTCCCCCTATTTGATGTTGAGGCTTCCTGTGTTGTGTCCTGAACCTCTGAGGGGATACAACTTCAGTGAAACAATATGTGTGCATATTATGTCATGGTTACTATAAGCTGCTCCTTCAATTGAAGGAATGCCAATAAAAATGCTTATTTAAAGTGAACTTTGATCTCATGTCATATTGTCCTCCTTTTATTGAGGAAACAAAAAATGATATGGAGGGAGAATATATAACATAATATCAGGCACACCTTGGGCTTTTTTCCAGGAGCCCTTTCAATTGTCCCACAGCATTGGGAACCACATTACTCTGTTTAAAGAGCTTAAGAGAACTGCACCCAATCGACCCCTTTTGTTGACTGTCTTGTTTTCGTTTCAGTTGGGTTTGAACATCCTCAGACTTTGCTTGAAGGAAGTGTTTGAGTTCAGATTTATGCAGACAGATCCCAATTGGTCCAATTTTTTCTTTGATCCTGTCACTAAAAAGGTTTGTCCTACATTTACAACTCTTGCTGTAACCCGAACAACTAACTTGACGGTACCCAATTGTTTCTATATTCCCAGTGGAGTTTCACATTGTTAGAGTTAAGTATCTTGTTCAAGAACCAGAACAGCTCAGTAAATACATACAAAATGCTTAACTGTTCATATATTCAAGTTGAAGGCTTTTTTTGTTGTTGTTGTGGCCGATCTGATGCTAAATCGATTTAACACATTGAGTTAACATTTGTATAACTTTTTGTACACTCCTCTCGCAGATTTGTCTTCTTGATTTTGGAGCTTCTCGTTCTTATGACAAGAAATTTGTAGACAAATATATTAAGGTAAGATTTTTCCCTTCCTCATGGTATCCATGGTTACCGGTTGCTTACCCCCTTGTCAAATAGCCCCTAACCGGAACAGAACTCATTTCCCAAGTTGAAACAAAGAAAATATCACTGCTTGGGAACACCAATATGGCCACCGTGATGCAATCAATGCAAAAGGGTTAAAGAGCTTTTCAAGCTAAAACCTCACATATGCCAGACAATGCTTGCATAATAAACTTACATCACCACAAAATCTGGAGGCTCAGATGGGACCAAGGTAACTATGTTTTCATCTTGACTGCTGCATAGTTTTGATGTACCTGAATGGTGCTGGTCAGGAATTGGCTATTTCCTAGTTACATCAAGCCCCTGTTTCAACACGAGTCATTCAAAACCTCTCTTATGAAAATAAGTTTGATTTGCATGAAAATGAACCAGTTGGTGGAACTCATTTTCGTTTGAATAGTTTTGCACTTGGACTTGTTTTGACACAGAGGCAGTAGGCAACTCGGAAATGGCCTATTTGGTTTCATATTCAAATTCAAAAAACACTGGGAACTGGTTTGAATGTTCTTCGAGCGCTCCGCACGCTACACGTGCCTATGTTTTGACATTATTTTTGTCACCTAGATAATCCGTGGCGCGGCCATTGGAGATCGAGGCATGGTGATTGACAACTCCATCGGCCTGGGGTTCCTTACGGGTTATGAGTCCAAGGTAAGGGTGCTTGAAAGGTGAAAAATACGTATTAAGAAATATATCTACTTGAACGTCTCTTCTTGCGCGCTAAATTCCTCTCCCAAATTTCATCCAGGCTTCCGCTGACTGGATTCGAATAAGATGTCATTTGTGTTTTTATATTATGGGAAAAGTTGGGTTAAGCAAGTCTGTATCCTCTTTAGCGTTCCCGTACAAAGAGCTTTTCGGCATTCTGACCGCGCCTAAATTGGAGCGAGAGCAAAATTTCGACGAAGCATGGGGTGGTGGGGCGAGAGAGGTAACTGCTTCTCGCTCCAATTTACGCGCGGCCAGAATGCGGAAAAGCACTTCTTACGGGAACGCTTGCTACGCAGGCTATATCCTCTTAACTTTGACGTNGCTCTGATTTATATACCCTATCCTAGAGTAAACTGCTTGAAAACCATACCCTTCACAGTGGCACATACCTATATAGCCCATATATGGCAGTGTCCCCCCACCTCCCCCCGGGAAAGGGCGGCTGTAATGGGAGGCTTGAAGCCGCTACTACATCTGACAGTTTGCATTTATTTGGTCAGGGAAATTTCTTTTTTATCAGGAAAAAGTCAGGGAAATGTAAGGGAATTTTGAAGGAAAAGTGATGTTTGTGGCAACCATGTTGAAGCGAGTGAGACTTCATCCAGGGTCACCCAGGCCCCAGTACCAATCTTATGATTTTTTTTTAGTTATTGATTAAAGCAGCTCGCTGCTAAAGAAATGTTTGAATAGTTCGTTAGCTTTAGTCTGAGCAGGAAAGTGACAGATTGCCGGATATCAAGGGCAACAGCCATGAACTGAAGAAGTGACCATATTGGTTTTTTTTCAAGGTGACTTTTGAGGATGTACCTACAGTAGCAACCCAGGGTGAAGACAGTTCTACCTCCCCTACAAATGCAAAACAGGTAATTTTCGGACTCGGTTATTTCCGACTCAAGCCCATTTCTTTTGAATTTGCTTTTTTCTGTCATTTACTGCCATTATCATTATTTACTATCATCATGTCGAACTCCTCGCAATAAATTCAAACTGATTTTTGTTTCCCGTGACAGAAATCTAACCCTGTTTACTGTTTTGAACTCCGTTGAATGGTAGATTTGAAAGATGTCGAGAAAACTGAACATCTTAATTTCTTGTAGAGAGAAAACCCCACAAAGTTCCCGTTTCGAGCTGTACAGCCAAGATTGTCTCAAAGACGAGCACCTCCGGACGGCTTTACGAGTTCAGCAAGTTTGCTTGTTATCACGTAAGTAACTTAAGTTCAAAATAGCCTTCCTTATAGATCCCGTTGGCAGCAAAACCTTCGAAAAATTCTTATAACTTTTTGCGAGCATCCCCTTGACAAGACTGCGAAGAAATCGACCTTTTGACGACACGAAACGTATGGCTACGTTTTGATGTTTGTCGCCCCGCCGGGAGGTGGGTGGGGAAAGGTAAAGGGTACTTTTCAAGGAACATCCTCGAGCATTTTTCAAAGTCCCCCCACCCCGTGTTTGTCGATCCTGCAATTCATTTTCCTCCAGGACATTGCTAGTCATCCAGACTGTCTTATGACTTCCTGCTATTTATTGAGTACTTTTCTGCAGAATCAAGCGGTTCAGGTCCAGTCACCTCTGATTAAACTATGTTTTCAAGCTTCTTGAAATTATACTTTAAAAAACGTTACTGATCTTTAAATAAAGGTTATTTTCGAAGCGAAGTGTGTTTGGGAGAAGTCAAAATTGTTAGACTAGACGTGCTGCCAAGTCGACTTTACTGAAACACTTGCACTTATAGTTATTCCTTTTTTATTAGCTGTAGTATTTCTCTCTTACCCAAACATCCAGTTTTTTAGATTATTTCTACACCCCGGGCCGACATTTTACATGTATATATTATCTAATTATTGTTATTACTCAACCTATTACTGTGAAAATTTTGCTCCTTACAGACCGTCAGAGGAACTAGTCTTTACTGGAACAACTTCAACAGGAGAAATTCTTCAATCTTTGTCGCTTGCCAACAACACCCTGTCAGCTGTCGCCTTCAAGGTTTGCATTTAAACTTTCGCAGTTGGCTCCATTCCTTGTGTTAATTTAACTTTTTTTTCTGCAGATTTTTTTTTCGCCTTTGTTTTTAGGATAACAGGTTGAGCTTTTCTCTCCGTTGCTCGTAATCAACATCAGTCTTCAGAATAAACTTTGTTGCTCCACGCTGAATTCGCTCCAGCTTAGTGACATTTCTGGATATGTGTGGTGATCACACGACAGTGCAAAACTCCAACTGCGATCTGACCAGGGAAAGATACAAAGTTCTCAGTTTAAAAACATTCTTGAGTCCTTTACAGGTTCTTCAGTTTTATAAGACCTAGGATCTTGTTGGCCTTACTCGAGATTTTATCAATAGGATTGACAGATTACAGATTACAGTTGGTAACCAAGGCAAGATTACGAAACTCAGATGTTAACTCCAGGATGTTATTATTTAAATATAAATCAGAGTAAATAGGTGTTTTTCTTTTAGTAATACGCATCAGTTTGCATTTCTTTGGGGGCTATTTAGAACTGTTGACCGAGTTCTTTTCGCTGTCGTTGTTGTTTGTGTGGACCTAGACGAAACAGAGGTCCAATAACGAACAACAACTTTAATAAAGGGGTCAATATTTCTGTATGTCTGGACCGAAGATACTTGGTTCCGCCCTGGTTTAAGCGATCAGACTGCGCGATTGAGATCATCTGAATGAGGTGCGGAGAAGGCATATAATAGACCCAGTTTAACCGGTGTGGCCCTTTAACATAAAATACTGATGTACTAGATAAGTGAACTATAATTCGGCTGTTAAACGACCAGAGTCCGCAGCAGTTGTGTTTCCCATTAATAGCAGGTTGGCAGCTTTTTCCCTTGCCCTGATTCTCTTTCTCATGTTGGATTTGTTTGCTCACATACTCCTTGAATCTCTCTGCTACAGGTCAAGACGACTTCACCGGAGAGTTATCGCGTACGACCCAGCTCTGGAGTGATTCCTGCTTCCTCGTCTGCCGAAGTCAGTGTGTTTTTACAGCCAGGTAAGACTGAATGGAGAAAACTAAGCGGTCACTGATGAAATTCCTAATTTGCTGGAAGAAAGAAAGAAAAAAATGCAGTCCTTTTACACTGCCATGCGCCACCGCGGAAAGCGGCACGTTAGAACAGCATAGTAAATACATTATGTCGATGAAAGTTATGATAATTATTTCTATGCAATTTTTGTGCGCGACTGAGCACACATGAAAGTCTGCGCGTCATAAATTGCAATAATTATTTACAATAACTGTCTAATTTCTCGCACGCTGATTGGCTCATTTTTATCATCAATAAGAGTACAGACGGATAAAATGTTAATTTATGCAAGCTTTCAAGTTCAACTTTCATCTGTCAAACTGTCAACTTTTTAGCCAATGAGATTTTATGGACTTTTTTAAGTAGCCAATCAAAAAGCGAGAAAAGCTATTGACAATGTTCGCGTCATTTTGAATAAAATCCAGTCATCTTTGTTTACGACAAGTTTACGGCGTCTTTTTCGCTCATTTATTCCCGGCATTTGACCATTTTGGGGTCTTGTTATTGTAAAAAACATATTGACGTCAGTTTTTTTATGCGTCTGTCCTCATTGATGATAAATTTCGTCATAACATTGTCAAAGTTTATGACCTAAAAGTTTATGTTATGACCCAATTTATCATCAATAAGAGGACAGAGGCATAAAAAACTGACCGTCAATTTGTTAAATACCCTCCAGTTGGCGCGAATATATGCTCCGATATTTGTCCGCGAGCATTATTTGTTCCGAGACGCGAACAGTTTTCCGAGAGCGTAGCTGGAGGAAAATTGTGAGCTTCAAGGAACAGATAATGTCCAAGGAGAAATATCCGAGCATATTCTCGGGCCAAATGGAGGCTATAGTATTTATTATCCTTCAAATATTCTTCGCCACACGCGCAGTTTTAGCTGAGGCATATTCAATCACATGACGCGTTTAGACCAATCGCGCGCAAGCGAAATTATTTAATAGGTTTTAAGTTTAATTATTATTATTATTATGAAATCAAATTAGGATGTTTTCATTTCAGGTCATGCTGCTAGTGTTATTAGAGACAAATTCCTGGTAATGTCCACTGGGCTACAGGATGAAAAGTCGCCGAGTGAACTAGCTGCATTGTGGAAAACGATACCCAAAGCAAACATAGTTGAACATCGGTCAGTCAAGCCTGCCTTAACGGCAGAATTCAACTTTAGCTATCTGTCTTTGGCCTTTTGTACACTAACATTAAAATACTTGTTTTTCTTTCTTTGATTAACAGATGTTTTTTCTTCTTTTTTTGACTTGGATTCTTGACTTAAGCATTAGATACAGAGCAAACAAAATCATGGGCAATTTTTGCCGTTTGCCGCAAACATTAGTATTAAACTTCTCTTAACTCTCTATTGGCTCTGTCCCCAAAGTGCATGCCAGTCTATCGTATGTTAGTCCTCAGCATTTTGTTAAGTTGCTTGCTCCTCTGCGCATATATACTTCTGTGTTGACGGTGGCAGTGTGTGCGTGAGAACAAAGTGTCTTACCTGAGATCACAACGCACTCCCTCCGGCCAGGGCTGGAGTCTGGCACATTTTTCGTTAGGCTTCGCATCTCCACGAACTAAAAACTAACATCAGTGTTATATTTTCTCAGACTTCGATGCCGATTTCTGGCGTCCAATTCCCAGCTCTCCAGTCATTATTCTGATCTTGCCGAAGGTAAACCAGTGACGTTAAGTATGGCCATTGACAGCATTCAGTCACTTCAACGACAGCTCAATGATGTGGAGAAAAAGGTTTGTGCGTTATGAACGAGTGCATACAAGAAAAGATGTCTGCTCGAGATTCCTGCTAGCCTGCAAACGCAGACGTATTTTGGGCTTTCACTTGGTTCCGCCGAAAAATAACGTCTGCGAACCCGAGCCAGAAAACGATTTCTGTGACGTAGGAATTCTAAGCCAATCACAGTTTAGCTCAAATAACCCCAGAACTACTGCGCGAGGTATTCGCTGCGAGGAGCACTCGAGTTTCATTCTATCATGGAATCTGATTGGCCAAGGAGAAACAAAAGTCATTACGTCACAGAAATCGTCTCCTGGCTCGGGTTCGCAGACGTTATTTTTCGGCGGAATCAAGTGACAGCCGGAAATACGTCTGAGTTCGCAGGCTAGATTCCTGCCTGCTGGACTTAAAAGTTCTTTGTGATTGTTATAAATATCGAACAAGATGCTTTTCTTCGGAAAAGACAAAAACTTGCGGATGTTTGTGTATCTATGGCTAATTGTTGCAACTTTTGATTGCATTGTTTCAATCAGGTTTAATTAGACCGATTTCTTTGTCACTGGGACTAAATTTTGCGTGCTCTTAATCTGTTTGTTGTTACAAGTTGCTTTAATTTTGCGCTTATGTATAAACAATGACATTGACAAAGAATGTCCTCAGTGATTATTATCATTATTATTTGTTAGCTTTCTCTCTTGCCGAAACTGAAAGTAAGGTTTGTCCGACGAATTCCAGATGATGTTGAGGATTTTATAGCATGTTTCTCCATTACAACTAGCCCTAGCCTGTGATCATGCTCTTCAAAGCAATAGCGCCCGATCTCAGGTTAAACTGGTCCAGCCTGCTTTCCTAGACCTTCCCCCTGGACTTTCCTGCTTTGCATGACCGTCTTGCCAAAGGTAAAGCTTATTTTGCGTTTGTGGTGACCTTTGCGTTTTATTTATTTATTTTACAGCTTGACGCCACCAACAAGAGAATCGCCCACATAGATGAAGGCCTTCATGTTTTTATAAAAGTTCAATTAGGTCTCTTCTCTGCTATGATAGTTTTATTCGCTGTTGTGATGTACTACGCTACGTACTTCATGTAACACCTCATATAAAGTACCGTTGCGCTCACAGGTCCAAGTGGACGCGGTAATATAATAAACTGAAACTAAGAATTGGAATTAATTTTAAAGATTTAGGACTTTGAATAAGTTAGGCTCGAGTGAATATTGTAAACACAAAAATTTGCGACATTAATAAACGACGTTTCGACATCGTCAGAAGTCATTGTGAAGTTAATGTGTAGGTTAGTTTTTGCATTACAAATAGATCCACAGTTATGCGCATGAGGTGGCAAAATACACATGTACTTGACAATGACATCCGACGATGTCGAAACTTCGTTGATTAATTTCGCTAATTTTTGTGTTGAAAATATTTAGGACGTTGTCCAAAAATTGTTTGCTGGCCAACAGAAAAGGATTTTTTTTTTTTTCATTTGGCTCTTTTTAAAGTAATGTTATTCAATTCAGTAAACTTTTTTGGCTGAAAAGTAAAACAGCAAAAAAGATGAAATGACTGAACTGTGAAACATACGCAGCTTAACTTTGAGAGAGTGGAAATAACTTCCTTTTTATTGCGGAGAAATTTGTATCTGATATCTTTTTCATTTTGTAGTAGTTCTTAACTGCTTTTCTCTAGGTTTAGTTTTATCCACTCCTATTGTTAGGACCAGTCTTCACTCTAGACTTAAAAGGGGTTTTATACTGCTGTTGTTTGTACCGCACTGGAGATCACCAATTAAAGTTTGGCGCGTTTTCTTGCCTCCGGCCGCTAGGGCCTGGTTAGAGCCTTTGGTGGGCCTAGTTGTTATGTTGCAATCTTAAATAAGACACTTCACTCTAGAGTTCCCCTTTCTCCACCCAGAAACACCTCGTTAGAAGTAGCGACGCTCAAATCTTAGCCTGCGTGGCAGGCGTTCGAGTAATAGTAAAGAGTGAGTTGTTGCTGTGCCCGAGAGCGAGAATACGCGTGTGGGCTCTGCGCCGCTCGTGTCACGCGCGCGTCGCACCACTCCAACTCACACCCTATAAACTCGAGCGCGTACGACGCAGGCTACTCAAATTTTCAAACAAATCATGAAAATCTAGATACCGTGGGAAACACAAATTACATTGATAATACTTTTCATTTAGGATTTTTCTACCAGGATTACGCGAGGGACTAGCGCCCTCACAGAAGGATATTCTATTTTTCTTAGAAGTAAAATAAATTATTTCAGTACAGTACTGTGAATAGATGGTGGTATTAATTTATAAATTAAAAAAAAGGTCACATGTAAATTGAACTACTGTGCAATGTCATTCTATAAAACTAGAATTTAACTTCAAACAAACCCAGAGTAAGTTATTGCTCTTAAACCTGAAACATATTTTGACTGAAAGTACTTTTTCATCAGGGCCGGGAAGTTCACTACACGTTCATGCACAAAACTTTTCTCTCTCACGGCAAAACGTTGGCACATCACACTTTTTTAAACTGCGAGGGCTAATAGATTCACGAGGAGCGAACCAGGGAGGGTAGCCCACATGAAAAGGTCCGGGATGCGCGTCAGAAAATTTGAATTGAGCCCCTAAAGGAGATCAATATGGGCGTGGCTCGAGCTTTATTTGACCCATAAAAGACACCACTTTAGAACAGCCTCAATTGCCAGCCGCTGTTAAGGTAAGGGTCCCGCGCCAGTAGACCAGACTCGAGAGACCGGCGGAAATTGCAGCGTAAAAAACGGAAATAAGTGCGGGGTTTTTTCATTATTTTTTTCTTCGAGTGCACCCTAACAGAATACTTTGACAGCTAAAAATAGTGGTTTTTTTGTGATAAACGCCCGAAGTGAGACCAGAATCCTTGATTTACACGCATATGCGTACGGGTACCTTCGGACTTGAGGGGCGCGGTGACCTTACTGCCCGAAAAAAAAATTACACAATGCCCGAAACCGTGAGTGTTGTTCAAACGCACTCAAATCGCAGTAAAAACAAAAATCGATCACCGACAATTCTCACGTCCGAATGAAAGTGTCATCATTCCAAAAATAGTTATTTTGGAACCTCGCATACCCTATGACCTTGATCGACAGTCTAGTGAAATCAGAAACTTATAAAACAAACAGTTAATTCTAGTTCTTTGTGGAGCCATTCAAAACGACTCTTTTCAGAGCAACCACAAATACAAAAGTCTAGGTCTTCGTTTGTTTTGATTCTTTTGTCATTGTTTTGTTGATGGAAATAATTTTCCAAGATACACATCTAAACGATATATGGCTGTTCCAAAACAGAATACCTGGATCCTTGGATCATTTGACCTTAACTCCCTTTTGACAAGACAAACATCTGAGAAAGTAGCCTACAAGCCTGGCCTCGACCACCTTTTACTGAAAGCTTTCTCCCGTGTACTTTTGCCAGAATCATCAGCGTTTTGCCAAAAATTTCTGAAACTGAGGAGGCTGCATGCGCCCCCGCCCCGCCCCCCCCCCCCCCCCCCCCCCCGTATCACCTGCACTGGATCGTCACCGCAGGTGCATCTGATACAAATGCCAAGAAATCGAGCCTACAAATAGCGAACAATGACGAGACGCAAGAGTTAACACTTGTTATTTTTAGCCGTGTTGAAAGATTGACATGGATCTGACGTATTTTAGAATTATTCAATCAATAGGAGTTGAAGGTGAACACACGCTAGGGACAAGAATCTGTCATATTATTAGAACCTATAGAACCGAGCCTTGCCGTTAAAAGACGACATAAGCCAATACAATTCTTACATACAAACTCTAAATTAAAAAGAATCAATACGCGAAGGCTTAGATTTTTTCTTCGATTATACATTTTAGGAATATCTCCGAAAGCTTCCCGATGAGATTCTTCTGTTTTTAGTGGGGATGTGTAATATCCAACAGTATAAATCAAAAAGAAGTAGAAGGTTAAGGCGAACGAGACAAGCTGCTGTAGTTGTATTCTTTTTCAGCTAAAGGAAGTTACTGGATCGCATTGGTGTCGTCTACCAATGAATGAATGAGTCCAGCAGCATCTACAATATACTAGTGGACACGCTGACTTTACCACTGCCTGCGGTGAAAATATGGTTCGAATTTTTCAGTAATACCATTGTGTCGGCCTGATATCTCTAGCAGTTTATTTTCTAGCAGTTTTTGCCCTCCAGGCTTTGTTTATACTCTCGTGGTAAAGTAATCAAAAATCTATGGATAATTGTGGGAATAATCAACCCATGTCTGCGCATAGTGTCGTGTGGTGGTCATTGTCTTCATGTAAATTAACCGAGTTAGGGGTGTTTGCCAAGTGCAAACAACTACTGTTCGCTTTTAACTTCCACAGTAGGCGAAATCTGTCTGAAATCAGCTGCGAACGGCTTCATGTATTTGATTTGTCTGTGGCTGCAGACACTGGACGATTAAGACCGTTTCTACTCATTCGTCAACACGTAATTCGATTTCCTATGTATCACAAAGAGGTCAAATCTACTGAAGGAAAAGGGAAAAGTTGGAATAAAGTAGGGAAATATTTGCGCTGTTGTGCTTCGCTTCTGTTGACTTGATTTGTCCGTATCTGCATAATGTACATTACAATAAGAGATATAAGTTTACTGCTTAGTTTGGGAACCGCATTGTTTTTTGCTTTCGTTAAATTCAGGACAAAAGTGACTCGGGATAAGTGTGACACATTTGTGTAAGGTTGTATTTTTATACGACATTTGCCCGCCCGCGTCTGTTATAGGTCCGTGGAGACGCGGGGAAGTAATAAATTAAGTCATGTAAATAGCATTGTCAATGGAAATTCAACCTTGAACTAACAGAGACACCGTGTTTGATTCGTTTCGCAGGTGCAGTTGGGTGACTGAGAGATGGGAAAACAAAATAGTAAGCTCAAGCCCGAACAGTTGTCTGACCTGAAGGAACAGACGGAATTCAACGAGCAAGAGCTACAGGAATGGTACAAAGGCTTTCTTAAGGACTGCCCGAGCGGTCACCTCACTGTAGAAGAGTTTAAGAAAATCTATGGCAACTTCTTCCCGTATGGCGACGCTTCCAAGTTCGCAGAGCACGTTTTTCGCACGTTCGACAAAAATGACGACGGCACCATCGACTTTCGCGAATTCATCTGTGCCCTCTCCGTAACTTCGCGCGGGAAACTCGAGCAGAAGCTGAAATGGGCGTTCAGCATGTACGACCTTGATGCCAATGGGTACATTTCGAAAGAAGAAATGCTGGAGATCGTCAGGGCCATCTACAAGATGGTGGGCTCTGTTATGAAAATGCCCGAAGACGAGAGCACGCCTGAAAAGCGAGTTGATAAGATTTTCTCGCAAATGGATAAAAATCTGGATGGAAAGCTTTCTTTAGCTGAGTTCATCGAAGGAGCCAAAAGTGACCCCTCTATCGTGCGCCTACTCCAATGCGATCCAGCTGGCGGCTCAGGTTAAGCTTGAAACAGAAACGGATTAATAGGAGTCAATACAACATTCTCTATGAAAACTGGTGCACGTTTCTTTTATTCCCGGGCCATTATAGCGGCTTCCATCTTCTTTGGCAAACGCTCATTCTTTAAAACTTGTGAATTATGTAACGGTTCCCCTAGGGCTGAGTGCTTTATTAGGAAATAACTCGGGAGTTCTCGAAATACTGTCGGTACTAATATATCCTGGATTAGCTTGAAGCGCCTCGTGTTAATGATTTCAAAAGTGCTTTGTTGTAGTATAATTAATCAGTTGTTTATCTGCGAGTCTTCGTTGGTCTCCGTAATGCTAGAGTGTTCAAATGAATTAAATAACGTTATTTCAGTTGTCAGTAAATAAGTTTGTGTCGTCTGTGATCTTATGCCCTCCCTCTTGCCCCCCCCCCCCCCTCCCCTCTCAGGATATCTCTCTGGGTCTCTGGGGAAGCTCGTTCCTTTCAAGGGTAATAGAAGCCATTTGGGTTTTGAATTTCAAACTGCAAGTAAGCAGTAACGGCAATTCTCCACATCAAGCGTCCTCACTGTCCTGGTTCTATATCTGTTTCCTCCACTACGTCCAATACACATTGACTTTCATCAAGCCAAGGACGAGAATTTTCAACCATTGCTTTTTGACGAGGGGGAAGGGGGTGGGGAGAAAATAACTTCTCACTTTAAAAACGCCGAAGACGTTCAACGGGCATTGTAGCATTGACATTATGACCAAGCCAGAATAATTCTGGTAAGTTTTATAAAACTGTTTTTTTTTTATCAAATCCCCGTCACCTGGGTGTCACTCCTCTAGGATACAATGAAAGGAGACCAAAATGTTGATGTCATACTCTCTGCGAAAACTGTCAGGTTAATTAGCTCAAGGATTTTTATAATCTCAACAGAAGCGGGCTTTGATCGTACTCTATTGGAATTTATAGTTCACCACTAAATTTTATCCGATTCTTATTGGGTTAAATTGATCACGTGACGCGATAGTGTTCATCCACGGAGAGACACTATCAGCTCATAGTGCCCGTCCGAGGAAAATACCCGGATGGATAGTGGGACTTATAGAAAAGAAACAATTAAAATTGTATTAAATGAGTTTTGTCTGTTTTCTTTTTCAAATTTTGCATTTGTCTTTCACGGGTTTCATCTAAAAATAGTTGAAAACAATTCAATATGATTTTTGTACTGGCGCGCGAAGAAAATTTAGTGGTGCACAATAAAGACAACAGAGTGTTCTGGACTCGGAACTATCGGCCTGATAGTTGCCCCTTGGAAATTTGATGTTCTTAAAACTGGCATATTTGCCTTCGAAGCTTCGTTTCTCAGGCAAATATTTGTTTTAAGAAGATCAAATTTCCGTGGGGCAACTATCAGCCAATAGTTGCTCGACAGAAATACTCTATTGTTTAACCCTTTGAATACCAAACTTTCGCCAAAAAATACCGTTTTTAACCGTTTAGTCAGGTTTTTTAGCTGCCATGACGCTAAATAAGCCTAAGTTTTGCTAAAAAAGCTTTTTTTTTACTAAAAGGAGAGATTTTTCGAGGATTAGGTACAAAATTGAGCAAAACTTCAATTCCGGGCATGCACATAAACCAAAATTTGGACTTTCTTTTTTTGCCATTAACCGTTCTCAATTTCGTTTTTTGGCCCTTTCCTTTCTTTGTCTTTTTACCAATGAACTATCGGAGGGCAGATGTATAGATGACGTCAAAACTTTTTTGTTTCTTATTATATAAAACAATAATCTATCCATAGACGGTTTTTTTTTTCGCTACGAGTTAATTTGTTTTTCTCCAACCTCGCCCCATTGCGTCTTGGTTCGTTCACATCCCACTCACCGGCTCAATATTTTGCTAAGCTTCCGAGCTCGACGAACTCAAGATAAAATAGAGCGGTCTGTGGACAGACCTACGAAAACAAGTAAATTCCATGTTGCCGTGCGTCTGCCCAGTAATCGGTCACAGAAGACGTCAAAATGTGGCAAGAAAATCAGTGACACACGCGGCTATCGCCTCGTGTGCTACTTTTTTGTTCTTACCACATTTTGACGTCATCCGTGATTTACTACTGAACAGACGCATGGCAACATGGTTAGGGGAGAGTTTACTTTAAAAGGCATTTCTAATTTTGGACCAAAAAAGTAAAATCTATAGACTTTGAACGAGTTGCACATGAGTAACAGATCTGAACAAAGGCTAGCCTAGGATTAGCACTTTTCGTCTCTTTGTACCGCCGGGGTTTTCAACAGCGATTCCGAAGTCCGTCAAGTACCGGACGGAGTGATTTTTTTTTTCCGATTTTTAAGCGCTTGCGAAATACTGTTTCTTATATTCATGGGATCGGAGAAGTTTCATTTCACTCTTTTTGTTTATATTTTTCCACATGATACGAGTGGTTATAATTACGTGAAATCCAGCGTGAAATGATACAAGACCTCCAAAGATCTAGACTGCGAACAGTACAGCCTCTCTTTCCCTCGAAAATCCGTGGGGAAGAACGCAAAACAAGTAATTGTGCTCCACCGATTTTCGAGGGAAAGAGAGACTGCTCGCGATCAACAGACTAGGGCGACTGACTTGTGCCAAGGCCCCCTCGTCTAAAAGAGACACAGGCAGCTCTGGGGATGAGAAAACCACAGCCGCGCGCCATCTTGGTTGGAAGTGGTTGAAAGCAGTCCAAAGCAGATTACTCTTCTTTACCAATGAAAACACAGGATTAAAAAACATTGCATCGATAGTTAACAAACATGTTTGGCTCAGCAGGCACAGCTTTCAGTGGCACGTCAGGTTTTGGAACATTTGGCTCAACCTCTACCACTACAAATACTCTAGGACTTGGAAATTCTGACAACCCAATGAAGGATTTAGAGGTCCAAGCGCCTCCAGATGACACAGTCAGCGCCATGAAATTCAGTCCAAAAGCAGACTTCCTTATCGCTTCATCTTGGGCCAATGATGTGAGTATTGTGAATCTGCTGTTAGCTTGCCTTGTAAGAGATGGTATAAATCGCTATATAGATGAGTAGACAGCACAGGCTGCACAGGTCACGTCAGTTCTAAGATGAAAGTGAAACGCTCTTTTTGCAAACGTGTGTAGTTGAGATCCCATGATTTATGAGTCAATTGAGTCTATGAGTCACTGAGTCCCATTAAACTCCTAAATGAGTGAATATAATTTGGTCAACTCGAGTAGCACTTTGTAAGACGGCCTATATAGCCCTTTTATTAGCTTCAGTAAAGTGCTTATTGACACTGGTTAGCTTTAAGGTCATTCCCCAGTATTGCATTGCGCATCCCTACTGCACATAATTTCACGTGTGATTAGCGTGTGCGCATTAAAAAATGGCAGCTTTTTCTTTGCGGCTGGACCTCGCCATAGAGGTAAATCGTCATTTTCTCGAAAACGAGTACGGTGACCTATCATTTTTTTCTGTTGTGTTGAACTGAGTAATAAATTTCTTTATGTAAAATAAATACGGGCCAATTCTCAGTGTTGAGCAAGAAACAATTGTCAGAAACATGATTTTAGCAAACAATCGTGACTATAACCATGGTGCTCTTGTAAGGATTTGTATGGTATAAACAAGGTGCTGTTGATCCTAAACGAATATGGGGACTCCTCATTTTTATTTCCAAATTTAAGTTCCTATAACATAAACAGTCAATACGCAAAGTTTGACAAAAATCTCAGTGCCAGTTCTATTTCAGTGGAATGACCGTAATAGTGTTTTGGGCACCCTTAACTTGTTTACAGGTATCTCTCAATTGTGGTGATGGTGACACAATGACTCACGTCTAATGGGCCCTTTGCAGCTAACGGTCACGTGGTCATAATTGTAGTGCTTGGGAGCAAGCTGCGCAGTGGGACATCTGAAACAAAGCGACATTGACCACTCAAGCTTAGTTATTGCTTGTATCAAATCTCCTTGTGTAAGACTTGCTCTTTGGTGTGGCCCACTTTGTACCATGTGACCGTTAGCTGCAAAGGGTCCATTGACTTATGGCTCATAGAATCATTTGCCCCCTTTTTAGTCATTAAAAAACATTTCTCTAAAATGGAAAATGTGTTTTTCCGGAAAATGTCTGTACTCTTCCCATGTATTGGATTTTTGTTTGAATTCTCCCCTCTCCCCATCTGTTGTAAGATAGCTTTAGATAAGGCTCAAATACTCAATGCAACGTTAAACACTGTCAACACAATGTCCGACATAAGCCAACTCACATGTTCGCGAGATGTGGGGCGGCCCACGAAAATGTAAGGGACTCCACAGAGGGGTACCCACAAGTTAATATTACAACACCATCCCTCTGAAAAGTCCAGTTTTGGTTCATACTTTCCTTTAAATATTTTAGCTTTCAAGACCCCCTCCCCCTTGAAAGTTCCAATAGCCCTCCTTGGGGTGGGTATGGATATTTCCTGGATCCACACAATCCATTTTAAATGGAGCACAATAGAGTTGTTCTCTATTCATCAGCCATTGCACTCTATAGTGGACAGTCATATCAAACTATGAACATTCATGTTTGTCATCATAAACTATCCCTACACATAAAATGTGATGAATGTACACCAGTTTCCATAACATACATAAATTGTACCATGAATCCTGCATGATCCTTGATTTAAGCAAAAGTGATTGTGTTATTTTGACATGAAAATTGTGTATTTTACTCCGTTTTGTGCCCTGCTTTAATATGACTTTAATATGACTTTAATGACTTTAATATTTGATACTTTGTGTTTTTGTCTTCTGAAGATTCGATGTTGGGAAGTCAAAGAAAATGGGCAGACTATTCCAAAGGCTCAACAGTCTCATACAGGACCCATCTTGGATTGTTGCTGGCATGATGTAAGTGGAAGTAGGAGAATTGTTCCCTGTTTGTTTTTGTAGAGTTGAAATAAGCACAAAACAAAGAACAGGTGAGCAAGAAATGCTGTGGAAACACTGTTTTTAGCTTGTGTTTCCATGGCTGCTTTAAGTTCTCCTAGGTTTGCACAGTTTTATCGGTCTAGAATTTTATATAAAACACAGACATCATTCTTTTGGTTGACCCAACAGTTAACAAACTGAAAATTGCAATGTAACTTTGACTACTTACACCTGACAAGAATAGAACACTAGTTATCGGCTTGCAAAGATTAGAAGTTAGTTTTTACACCATATTTATACAAATAACACTTGAAGGAATTCAGGGTTTGAATGGTTAATAGAAGTTGTGTTAAACAAAGAATTAATGAAAAATTAATGTCGTACCCCATAACAATATTGTTTAAAATAATTGCAGGATGGAACAAAGGTTTTTACAGCATCCACTGACAAACAGTGTAAGATGTGGGATCTTAATTCCAATCAGGCTATTCAGGTGGCACAGGTAAAAACTTAAAAAAACATACATTTCATCACCCTACTGTTAAAAATGTGTATGAAATCCATTGCTCTGATAGTTTGACCATGTGATTACTTTATTGGATCATTTTGGTGCAGCAAATTTGAAATCAGATAAATACTAATGGTCTTCAGTTTTCAGTAGTACACTGCAAGTAAATATTTTGTCACAGCATGACTTTCAAGCATATTATCTTTTGGAGTCTGGTAATACTGTAGGTCTTAACTCTATTTGTATTTATTTTAAGAAGTGCGAGTAGCATTTTTTGAGTGCGATTATCATTTTTCTTTCCTTGTTATCAGCATGACAAAGCAGTCAAAACTTGTCACTGGGTTCAAGCACCAAACTACAGCTGTCTGATGACTGGAAGCTGGGACCAGACACTGAAGTTCTGGGACACACGGTCACCTAACCCCATGCTCGTTTTACAAATTCCAGAGAGGGTGTACTGTGCAGACGTGGTGTACCCCATGGCCATTGTTGGAACTGCACAGAGGGGAATAATATGTTATCAGTTGGAGAATCAACCATCAGAATACAAGAGGATCGAGTCACCATTGAAATACCAGGTTTAGAACTTGCATGTTTATTGCCAGTTAAGATATAGGGCATGCCAGGGTTTTCATTGATGTTTTCAGCAGAAGGGTAACTGATTTCCACACTCAGGCAAAACTGTTTGAACTGATCGTCTTTATAAGAAAAGTTTTCCACTAGATGGTCAAACCAGCAGGGAAACGTTGTCCTCACAGCCATTCAATTTGCTGGGTGCCTGGTTAATTTGATCAAACAAAGGTACAGTCAAATCCCTATTAAGTGGCCACCCTTGGGGAAATAGGAGGTGGCTGCTTAACAGGGGTTAGCTGCTTTATAGAGGTTTGACTGTATTTCAAGGTTTTCGAACATCGCTGAGGCAGGGAAGGACAGTGGAGAAAAGGCAGGGGGTTGTTAAATGCAGAAAATCTGTCTTAAATATCATAAGACAATAATTATTATTACTCTTCACATTCCAAACATTTGCATATTAATTTGACACTTACAAATGCTTTTAAAATCAATGAGCAACTTGTATATGATTTCTGGTTCCAATTTATTCATACATTAATCAATGGTGTTCTTTTACTGTTGTAGAATCGCTGTGTGAGTATTTTCCGAGATCCAAAGAAAAACAATAATCCGGTGGGGTTTGCTCTTGGTTCTGTGGAGGGAAGAGTTGCAATCCAATTCATTCAGCCACAAAATCCGTAAGTTGAAAATATTGAGATGAATGGTGTTTGTAGCTTTCTTTATTGTGTATATTTCTTATTTATATTGTTGACTTAGCTCTCAGGGGCCTCACATTACAGCTCTGTAGCAAGACTCAAACTGTGAGACAGTCTTGCAGACATGCATGCTTGGTGGATGGCAACTTGTGATGCTTTGTTCTGGTTTTTTTTTTTTTTTTNAAAATGATTTGCCCCACTAAATGGATCTGTGCTACAAAATATTTGGAGTTAGAGTGCAACAAAATAAAAATTGCTGATGCTACTCCATTCAGGGCTGTAACTGCAAACTGCCAAATCAAAAATACAGACTGTGGAAAATAAAATTTTCCACTGACCATATTCCTTTAGCTGAAGTGGCCTGAAGATGAGATCCGCGATCCAGTGAAAAGGAAACGGCAGACAGATGACAATTTTCCTTATTCTCATCACCTATCTACATGACTGATACTGTATTGAGAAAACAGATCTTGATCTCTCATTGGCTATTTGATGTTGTTCATATTCTCTTTGTTTTCACAGGAAAGATAACTTCACATTCAAATGTCACAGATCAAATGGTACTGGCACAGCTAGTATTCAGGACATTTTTGCAGTAAGTCTGTTACTGTAGTAATTTCATAATATTATTATGTGCAGAGTTTTATTCACAAGTGCACGTTGAATATGAGATGGTACATAGCCAACAAGGCGCGTACTGCCCAGTTGGCTACAATCATCTCATACCTAACATGTGCGAGTGGAATAATTGTTTTCTTTTCAAGTTTTGCTTTTGGCCTTCATGTAGTTCAGCTAAAAAAGTTGAAAATAATTCAATATGATTTTTGAACTGGTGCGTAGAAGAAAATTTAGTGGTGAACAATAAAGACAATAGTGTGTTTATGTCTTGGAACTGTCAGTCTGATAGTAGCCCCTTGGAAATTTGCCTGGGGGGGGGGGTTACTTTGGGAATTTCTGGGTGGGGATGTGCCGCTGGGACCCTGGCACCCTTAGCCTATACCAGAGCTAGTTTAGCTGAATTTTGCTAACCTATACTAGAGTAAACTCCACAAATCCCCCCATCTCTTGATACTGTTAAGGCTGATTTGCGTAAATGTAATCTTGCCAATTTGATTTTTTTATATTTTGAGTGGCAATTCCTGGTTTCCTTACTCTAGATAAAATCTTCAACCAACCAGTCAGTTTTGTGAAAAATGATACCCTATTCTAGACCCAAACGCTCTGATTTATATATCCTCTCCTAGAGTAAACTGCTTGAAAACCATACCCTTCACAATGGCAAATACCTATATAGCCCATATATGGCAGTGCCCCCCCCCCTCCCCCGGGAAATTTGATGGTCTTAAAACTAGCATATTTTCCCTCGAAGCTTTGCTTCACGGGCAAATATTTATTTTAAGAACGTCAAATTTCCAAGGGGCAACTATCAGCCAATAGTTCCTCAACAAAAGCACTCTATTGTTTAGATAGAAATCTTGAACTCATCATCTTGTTTTTAAGTATATTAAAAGTGTGTTATGTCTTCAAGGAGTATTTGGTTGACAGTAATCAAAGTTTTTTCCTTGCAGGTAAATGACATAGCTTTCCACCCTGTGCATTTTTGTCTTCTGGCCACAGTTGGATCTGATGGAAAGTTCAGTTTCTGGGACAAGGATGCTCGAACAAAGTTGAAAGTGAGTACTCGCCATGCATAGGGGTGGAGGACAGATAACTCTTCTCTCTAAATACCTTCTCTGATAAATGTTGTGGTTACTATTTACCTGTACATCTACTTTATTGGCTGATAAAGCAGAACATCTACGCAATATATATGGGTTATTGACCAAGCGTGAGGTCAAGATGGCTGGATATTGACCAAGTTCTTTTTTGTGTGTGTTTATGAACCGAGACGGAGTCGATGTCCATTAACACGGAAAAGAAGAACGAGGCCAATATCCAGCCATCTTTAAGCTTGACCGAACAAGCTTGGTCAATAAGGGATTCATTATATCGAAAAAGAACACTGTTTTCTTGCGGGAGCCAGCGGGTAATCCCGAGCGAGCAAGATAACGCCATCTGCTATGGAGAAATTTTCGACTGAATGACGTAAACCCTGGCCAATCACCGAGACAATCCACTGAACCAATCAAAACTCAAGAAAACGCGCGTAGCTAGCGTGAAGCTACTGTCAACACCCAAGTGAAAACCGCTCTAATGTTAATTAATGCTTTTTCATACAATTTTCCTTTTTCAGACCTCTGAGCAGCTCAATATGCCGATAACGGCCTGTTGTTTCAATTCAAAAGGAAACATTTTTGCGTACACCTCAAGTTACGACTGGTCCAAGGTTGGTAAAGACTGGAATGGTTTCCTAAGGAAAGTGCTAGTGACTTATAAGCTTATTTTTCTCTCTTTTTTTTCTTCAAGGGTCACGAATTCTACAACCCTCAAATCAAGCCCAAGATGTTTCTGAGAAATTGCCTTGAAGAACTGAAGCCCAGGAAAAAGTAACCCACTGCCGCGGAAGATCATTCATTTAAAAACACCGAAACGTCTCTGAAGTCCAAGATTGGAGAGCCTGCGATTTTACCAGCTAGCGGAATAAGTTGATACGCAGGAATGTCCAGCACAGACTTCCGACATTTTGCTTTTTCAGCGGTGGAATCGTCGTGAAGAATTAAAAAGGCTTCAGAGGTTTCCTTTCCGTTTAAAAGACTGCCCTGTTAAGAGACTAACAGGAACATCAAGGCTGGGTTGTTCAAAGCCGATTAAGCTCACCCAGGATAAGCGGGAATTTTGATTTCAGTTTTCTAACTTTTCGGAGAGGTTTTCTTTTTATATTGTTTGTCCTTCAGTTTTGAGTTTGAATAATTTTAAACTACACTAAACCTAAGCAATGAAAAACATTATTATACAAGCAAAGTTAACACTCGGTTAACCTCTAATCCTGGGTTAGCGTTAACCGGCTTTCGAACAATCCAGTGCGAGTTGGTTAAGCTAGTTCAGATTCCTTTGGACGTCAGTGCAGTCTCAGTAACGTAACATAAAGAACATTATGTTGTATTAGTTTTGTTTTTGCGATGTACGTCACGTCTTTCAGGTAGAAGGAAAGTCTACTAAGGAAAAATGAACACTTAAGAGGTAATATAGATAAAAGAAAAAGCAAAAATGGCTAAGATTGGTGGAGACTCGGACGGATTTAAACAACTGTTTTTAAAGAATCTGGCATTTTGTTTTTTTTCTCAAGTTACGCCACCCGTGTCGACTAGCTAATTTGAAAGTACAGATATTTAACAATGGTGTAATAAAGCAAACAGACAGACGAGCAACAGACCTCGCTAGCGCCTTGCACTCCTTTCCAGTCCTTGCAGACTGTCATTTGTTTAGCTCTGATGAACAATTCGTTGGGAATATGCCGTGTTACGTGCAAATAGCGTAGTGTTACTAAAGACGTTTAACAGTCAATAAATGAACGTTATAGGTCTCTGAACACAATTAACGACCGCAAAACAAGCTCTACAAGTGCAGGCTTACAGTGAAAAGAAATTCTTATTAGTTTGTTTTTTTATAGAACAAAACACAATTCCCTATATGACTACATTCGGCTGGGGGAGATACTTGGGAGTTTAAGCAAATCAGGACAGCGATGGCAACGAAGGACGTCACCAAACAAACGGTTAAATGAGTAGACCAATAGTTCTGCACGTGCGTTTCAAATCTTGGTACATTTCTTACCCGTTATCTGCAAAGCAACTAGGTGAAATGACCGAGTTCTACGTATTTTGGAGAACGCGAACCGCACTTGCTTATTTTTCGTATCTTCCTTTGGAATTGAACGCTGTCATTGCATATTTAGCCTGAGCAAGTTTTTAGACCGGTAGGCATACTGAAAAGATCTACTGACACAGTTGAAACATTTGAAGGTAAGGTGTAAATCCATTTTTTACAAGGCGTCGCCGTCGTCATTGCTAAAACTCCTTACTCTCGGTGGGGGATTGAAATTTAAGGAAATTTAACGGTGTCTTGAAGAAGTCATAATTAAATTTAGATCATTTTAAGACAAGTATATTGTGAATATACGATACCGTCCGCAGTTAGAAAGTTTCACCGGGCGGTTTTTCATTGTGTATCTTCTATGATGCCTAAAATTTAAATATCATTTGTTCAGACGCAATATCGATCCGCAACCTCGTTAGCAGGCTTTTCCGTTACAAGTTGGGAGGGGCGGAACCGGCCCCTTCGAATTTCTAATCCCGTCTACAATATAAGCTCATCCATGCAAAATTGACTTAGCGTGTGTGACTCAATGCCCATAGCTTTGAAGGTCTTTTTTTCGTTTCTTTTATGGAATTGCAACGTTTGTCAGTTTGTCTCAGTCGGTTAACCATTAATTGTTCATTAACCGGTGATTAATCTGTCGGAATCCCACCATGTGGTATGTCAATTTATTGGTGTGCTATCAGTATAAATAACGACTTCATATATACATCAGATTAAATTAGACAGAACTTGGAAAATGTAGAATAAAATGTTGACGAATAACGTGACTATCAAGTGTTGTGCGTGATCGCGTGTCTCAAAAGAGATTTTTTTTTTCATTTCTTTGTTTCAAAGGGCGGTGTTGTGAATGACTTGAATCTCCTGATCAGGTGGATAAAATTTCTAATATAAGAAAGTGATCGATCACCTTATTCTCTTCACACTTTTAAGGCATTTTCGAACAAGCTGGTGGTGAGAATCAACACGATAGTTAAATGTAAACTTGACAATGCGTATCTTTCATACCTGTCGCTGAACGAAAATGAGGTTTCATAACTAATGTTTTGAAAACAAATATTTTATTCAGTCGTGACTAAGAACCATTGTGTAGCTGTCATCGAGCCACTGAACACACCAAAATAACTTTTATGTCCTTACAACCAATAAATAAAACTATTACACTATTGCTACAAGAAAAAGAAATCGCCACTCTTGTTTATAATATAATACACCCCTGCATATCCTCTCAGTCTGATCTGCGCTGAACATGAAAATGTAAATGAGAGCAAAGCGCTTTGCTCAGTCTAACCACATTTGTTAGTTTGACCTCTTTTTCCGGCGCTCGCACTGCGATATTGTGTTGCGGCGCTGTTAAAATCTTTTGTTTTCGTTGAATATTAATTCGCGGTATTTGCTGTATTACAAACACAGGTATCACTATAACAAAAATAAACATCATCGATTGATTCGTGTTAGTAAAAACAGGCCTTTAGATGAACTGTGTATGCACACCGTCTTCTTGTTCAAAACACTTCAAAAAAGTCACGCAATGTTCAGGAAGCCATTTCGCTGTCAGTAAAAATGCGTCTTCATTTAAGTATAACTCCACTTGAAAAAAATATTCTAGAACTCTGGAGCACTTATTTCGACCCTTAAGAGTTACTGAGAAACGCATTTTCGCCGAACAAGCTCTCACAAAACTATTCATTTTACCACTAACTTTCTTCGTCCGCCAATCAGTTTTCCAGGTGAAGGCAGAAGGACTTATCTTTTGTGGAATCAATTGCGAACTAATCGCGTTATAACCTCTAAAGGCACAAAAATCAATATTCTAACCGCAAGTAACACTTTCATTGAATTGTACAAGTTACCCATTCAGTTAGCAAAATGTGACAAACGAGATTTCTGTTCAATATTAGGTATTTTCAAAACCTTAAGTCCTAGACATGGGCTTAATACATTTGAACACTGTGTATTAAATATTTTATATGTTAGGACTATAAAATTTGATGATAACTGAAGGAAATTAAACTGCCTTTTCCTAGTTGGACACTGATTTACTTCGCGTTTTCCTTGGGCTAGGTAACGGCCCCGCTGGTAAACTTGATTTTCTCACAGGTCGAGCAGTTGTTACCAAGTCGTCCCGGTGTCGCAAACCGGAGAAATTTCGACTGTACATAGGCACTCTAGAAGAACTATGCGGTCTATCTTCCAGTGGAGTTAAAGACCCTGCTCTCTTCGGAGAGGTCGCTCTGTGCGCTGAATTATGTACACTTGGCAAGTGGCTCGAACTTGCGCGGGACGGTAGCAGGTCAATCGTAGGCATCGTCACCATTTTGTGAAGTGGCCTTTGAGAATTCGACGCGCCCGGTGCGCTTTGTAATCTTGCCGTCTTAGTAATAAACGGCTGACGAGTCAAATCCTCAGTTGAATTAGATGCGGGTAGAGCTAAACACGGCAGGTTTTCCACGACAGGAGCGCTTGGCACTCTCCGCAAGGCAGCTTTCTCCCGTATACCTTGGATCTGCTCTTGTCGCCTCGCAAACGCTTGAGTAGCTTTCGACATTTCACGCAAGCGAATTGCTCTGTCCTTTTCAAGTTGCTGTAGTTCGAGACTCAGCCTTGTCTGATGAACACTGTTCCTTTTTAGGGCAGAAGTTTCGTCCGCTGAAGTCATTTTGCCTTTAGATTGATAGAATCGACAGTTTAATCAAAGTCATGGATGATGTCAGGCTGTGGTTTGTCCCATTTATAATGTGACTTCAAAGAAAAAAAAAACACGTTCCTGACCTCTTTCAACAGAAACGCACTGACCCTGTCACTGTTTATACTTTCCCATTGTTTCACAGTATTAATCTTTTGTTGCTAACGTTACGCTTCAAGAACAATGTTATCTTCATCGCAACTGACTGAGTTTAATGAGCTACGCTTGGATTAACAGCTTTTCGTTAAGTTCATGTACTTTCATAATGATCGGTTAATGCGACAAGGTTTGATGTTTCTTTCTTTGTAGCATTTTAATGATCATTAAGAGGGAAAGAAACATATTTATTGTACTAACAGAAGTCTATCAATCAATTATGGACTTCCGATATTTGATATATTCATCACGCAAACTTGCCATTGCGAAGTTATGGACTTCACAAGAATGTAAACATGCGCCGCTTATTTTCCGCAAACACTGATTTACCCTTATGTGGTCACCTTAATCTTGTAGACATAAACCTAATAAACCATTTGCTTATTGAGAGTTATACACCATTGGCTCGTTGTTAAATAATTGACACTTGTCAGTTCACGCAAGCGGTGACTAACTGACGAGTACGCCAAAACTTGCACAATTCAAGAACCGGAAGCTACTTACCTCATCGCCTCACCTCCTTCCGGTCACATGAATAATTTTGCACCTAGAACAAGTTGTACTTTGCCTTCTCAGTTTAAAATATCGATAATGACTTCCTCGGGTAAAATACAAATAAGACGCACAGGATTAAGTTTCCACAAACATGGGAAAACCTTGTTTATTTGCGTTACTGAGACTTTGTTTGTAGGACTGTAGTTTTAATTTACTTGGGTTTGCTAAATATCTGCTTTGCACCTACAAGGCTTTTTCTCGATATAACGGGATGCAAGATTACAGACCCTTTTAAGGTTTACTAAAATCTAAATGAATTAAACTTAATTCAAAATAGACGACGTATTTATGCAGGCTAGCCAAAATGTTGAGACAAAAGTTGCCAAACACGCTCTTCGGTGAGACCTGTTTTAGTTATTTTCAATTCAGAGATATAAAATGTCACCCCTGTTGACATAACGATAGCTTGATGTAAACACGAGAAAAAGCTTGGCAAATTTGAAAAATTGAAAGATTGGTAATAGTTTCAGATGTTTCTGAATTTTACCACACTTTCTAGTCTGTTGCTCCATATTATGTATCCAGAAAATAGCTGTTTAGTATGAAAGTGAGCAGTAGTACGTCATAAGTGGCGAGATTGCAAAATATACCGTCCAATTAGAGTGGGCGGTAATCAGGAGTATAATTGTTTTCACCTTTATATGATCACAATTTTATAGTAACTAATAACAAATCGAATAAATTATCGATGGTATTAACTCTTTTACGAACCAATAAATTTACAGGTGATCCTGAAACAAAAGGTCGTCTTTCATCAAAGTTTATTGATTCGATGGAGTCGAACACTGTCCATTGTTCCATTGTCCACTTTATATCAGTCCAGTCTCTTTTCCAGAATTTCCTGCCCCGTGCACGTACATCTGACGTCATGGTGTCCAGGACTCCGGTGAAAACAATCAACAACATGTCGGCCATCGTAGACTGGATTAGCAAGGAAGAAGCTCTCACGGACATATTCAACCGTTTTGATACAGATTTCACTGGTGAACTAACAGCTGAACAACTACAGGAGCTTCATGCTGGCTTACGAGATGGAGGAATCAGTTTGCCGCAAGTAGAGGCTTCAATAGAAGCGGTTTGTGCGGCCGAAACTTGTGATCGGCAAGAACTTTACGATGTCCTCAACGAGATGGACCGTAGATATTATCTTGTTAAGGACTTGCAATGGGAATTCGCTATGCTGGACAGGGAAAAGAAAGGTGTTATCAGTGAAAGAGAGGCAAGATTCCTTTTTCAGGCTGTACACGACGATTTTTTCTCACATCGACGTTGGCTTAAATTCCTCCGTGGTCGCGCTGCACCGGGTTCTGGAATCAGCTTCGCGGAAATTGAAGTTCCGCTCTGCGATATACCGACCATGGATTGGCTCGACGAAGAGAAACAAGACGATGACAAAGCGAAGGAGGAAGTGTTGAGACGCAAACAGGAGAAAGAAAGAGCTGAGGAAGAGGAAAGAAAAGCCGCCGAGAAAAAGGCGAGGCTGGAGAAGGAGGCAGCGAGGAGGAGAGAAGATGCTTCTAGGAAAAAGGCGGAAGCAGAGGCCGCTAAATTAAAGGCTGAACAAGAGGAAGCAGAGAGGAGGGCGAGAGAAGAGGAGGAAGAAAGAAATCGCAAGAAATATGAGGAGGATATGAAGAAGCTTAGCGAGGAGGAAGCAAAACTAAGGGAAGAAGAGGAGAGACTGAGACAGGAGGAAGCCCAGAGACTGGAGGAAGAAGACAGGAAGAGAAGGGAACAGGAAGAAGCAGCTCAGAAGTGGAAGAAAGATGAACTTCTCAAACAGCAGGAACTGGAGCGTGAGAGGGAGGAGAGGGGTAAGCAGTAGCAATCACACAAATGGGGCTCATATTGGGGAAGGGGTGGAGAGTACATGTACCTCAGGGTCCCATCCAATGGTAACCACACATACTCACCCCCAGAGGTCCTCTAAATGAATATTGACAATAGCTGTTGAAACATCGTGGAGGGTGTAAGTAAGCTAAAGAAGTGTCTATGAGCCACTTTGGAGACCAAAGGGATTTTGGAGGCTTGATTAATAACCTCTGTGTGCTACATGTAGTGCGCTATTTGCTTGGCTAAGAAAACAAAGGGAGTGTGTCAGGAGGTGGCTGATGTTCCAGTCCATCTGTATTAACTGAAACTCAAGATCCTTTCCTATTCATGACAGTTATTGCTAGACAATGTTTTGACTAAGCAGCTTTTGGTGAATCTTACTGGTAATTCCAATGTCTGAAGCTCAAAATAGCTAGCACTCAGGTTGTGACATTTCTCCTATAAGAGATGCTATTCCATTGTAGGACAGCCCTGCTAGATATTAAGCGTCAAGTATATTAAACATTAGGTTATCATGTTTCCCTCTGGGAAAAGTCACTCCTGTATTATTTATTTTGCTTGATTACTTAAATTGTTTTCTACATAATTTCATAACCACATCAGAAAGACAAGAAAGGGAACAACGTGAGAGGGAGGAAGCTATGGAGGCTGAAGATCTTGCAGATGAAGCAGAAGAAGCAGAAAGAGCTGCAGCGGAAGCAGCTCGCTTAGCAGCTGAAGCAGCAAAGAAAGCAACTGATGAGGCCGCTAGAAAGGCTGCTGAAGAAGCAGAAAAGAAAGCTCTTGCTGAAGCAATGGCAAACAAGGAGAAGAAATTGCGTGCCAACTTGAAGGGTGCGAAAAAATCGAGAAAAATTGACAGGTTGGAGGGCTCAATCAAGGAAGCTAAAAATGCTAAGATGCCAGGTAGGCTACAATGTTAGTCCTTAGATCCAAAAGAAGTAAAAAATGAATGTATACATGTACTATATATTAATATACAGCAGAACAATGGTTTTGGGACCTATACTTTCTTGAAGGGTGACTGTGTTAAACTATTTATTTTACACAACTTTAGCTGGAATTTTAAGAAATGTAAGATCTCATCACAACTGTGACTGTAAGTTATAATGTAACGGCAAAACAGCAGAGTATTTCTTATCAAACATCTTTGCTGCAATCAGTCATCTAGTTTGCTGTACCAAATCTATGACCTTCAATCATTTATTTCAATACCATGAAAGAAATTTAAATAATGGTTCTTTGTTTCTTTCAGGGTTGAAGAATGACATTGATGATGCAGAGAAAACTCTTAAGAATGTCCAAGCAGGGGAGGCACTTAGGAGCGCAATAAGACGTCGTCACCTAGGTGACCTGGAGAAATCAATGGCTGATATTCGCAAAAATGGTTGGGAGAAAGATTGGGGCATTGAGCTAAAAGAGGGAGAAAAGCTGGCTAAGAGGCTGAGACGACTTGAGAAACTGAAAGCAGAAATCATGGAACTTAAACAAAGTGTCATTTCTGAGATCAGGAGCTACCAAAATCCACCTCCTGCAGTGCATAAGGTATGTAAAGGGAACTTTAAGACTACAGTGCCGCTCAGAACTAAGCGAACATCGAACATGCATTCTTAACGAACCCCTAACACAAAAAAATGACCGAATGTTATCTTCTGTACCTTTTTACAATGCCAGCATGAGGCAAATGGGAGTAAACTTTTTTTTGAGATCGTATGTCCACCAAAAATTTAGGGCACCATAAAACACTATGGTTGGTTGAAGTTTGATTATTTTTAGAAAGCAGTGTTAAAAGAAAGTCCTGTCTTATAACCTGGGACTAGTGGACTTTCCTGGACAGGCAAGTGGATTCTGTTAATAGCTTTCCTGATGAGTAAATGAAGTTTCTTCAGTTGGGAAAAGTTTTGGGGAAATTCAAACTAAAGAAGTAGTGTAAGAGATGAACTTTTGGGGGGCTAGTGAGAATGATTTTTGCCCAAAGGGCAAGTCGAAAATTTGTTTTCTCCACACCCTAAAAAGGTTAAGTTAGCATTCTTGAGAGAAGTGATTCTTGGGCTATAGATTTCCCAACTCACTATAGCTACAATTCTACTCTAAGTTTGAAAGGATAAATTTGTTATATATCTTCAGTTTTTTTCAATCACTGCATTGTAAGTTGGAAACATCTTAACCAACAGGTTATGATTGCTACATACCTGCTCCTGGATTACCCTGAGAAAGAGTTACTAAACTGGAGGAACATGCAAGCACTACTTGGCAAGACAGGCAAAGAAGGACTTAAACGTCAGGTCACTTCCTTAGATCCCTTAAGAGTGGACATGCCAAAGGCTGATTATGCTTTTGACAAGTATCTCAAGGAGACTGATCTGGAAACCATAAGAGACACAAGTGCTGGAGCAGCTACTTTCTATGTTTGGGTGAGTGTGGCTTCAAATTCACTTAATATAGACTAGTTGGAAACATAACGTCTAGTTTGAAGACATGTGAGTATTATTAATATCTCTCAGGAGGTGTGTAGGTAGGCAGTCTGTACAATCCAAGTGGGCCCATCAGGCCAGTGTTTATCCTGGTTTCAGTGGCATGAAGCAACTAGGAATATTTCTACTCTCCCCTGGATGAGATGCCAGTCCGTCACAGGGTTATCCCCAGCATAAAGTTCACTGGTATCCATTTATATACCTGGGTGGAGAGAGTAAAGTATCTTGTCTAAAAACACAACACAATGTTCCTGGTCAGGGCTTGAACCCAGACTGCTTAATCCGAAAGAGAGCGTACTAACCATGAGGCCACCACAGCACTCAGTACAAGTCCTGTTATCAGTCAATTTTTATTTTTATGGGTCATACTCTACAGTATGGCCGACTTACAGCAAGCTTGGTATCAAATATTCTCCTTTTTCCAGGGGGTGAGATATGGTGAACATCTTCCTAACTTGTTTTTTTGGAGCGGGTGGGGGTGAGGGTCTGTACTGTAAGATAGAGATCTTCATTTCTGCCCACTGCTTTATGACCTCCATGCTTTGTTGGTGTGTTGACTAGTACATGGACATTAATAAATATTTCAAATATATCAACTGAAATAAAGCAGTCATTCTTCATTGATCACTGTTGTCTTGTTTAGTTTTAATTTATATATTATGGATTTGAGAATTGTGTTGTTGAGAGTAACCCAAACCTCTTTGATGTTTGAGAATTATGTATCAATATTTTAGGCTACTAACATGATAGAGGAAGTCCATGCTGTTGCTGAGCAGAAAGAAAAGTTACTTGAAGAAGAAAAGAAGAGAAAAGAAGAAGAAAAAGAAGAAGCTAGGAAGGCTGCAGAGAGAAAGAAAGCTCGAGAAGCTGCGAAGAAAGCTGCTCCATTGACAAAGAGGACATCGCAGATGTCGTCAGGACGCAGGGCATCAAAAGATATCGAAACAAGGGGTAGAAGCAACTCCAGGGGTAGAGAAGGGAGTAGAGACAACATGAGTAAATCCCCTGCCAGACCAGGTGTGGCTCGAAGAACAAGTAGCAAGTCTCCTGCTGCTCGAAGCTGATGATCTCGTCATTAATCTAAAAATGACTTTTAAGTTTTTCATGGCGAAATCTGAGGGGAAGGGACTCCAATATAAATGTGATATGCATACCCTTCCAAAAAGGGGAACATTGGGGAAACCTAACAATTATTCAAGTTGTATTAATTCTTACATTTTAATTGTTAGTTTCATGCGGTATTGTACAGGGCTTGAATTCCAGCTTGCCCTTCGGAAAAGTGACTCTCAAAGTCTGCTTGCCCTGGGCAAGTCTTATTTTACTTTCTTATTTAGTTGGTCGACGACTTGTCTAAATGAGAAATTACTTGTCTGTGCAGAAAATCTACTTGTCACAGACAACTGGGTGACACTTTTTTTGAGGGCTGTTGTGATGTTCACCTAATCTGCAATTATTATGCATTTGGGTGAATGTTTTTCATTACTGGATGCTCTTAAAAACAAATGTCATATATCTCCTTTAAACATTTCTCAGCCAATCAAAGTGCTAAGAACCACATTGTAAATTATAATTATGACACAGTTTGACATCTCCAACTTCCACATTAACCACAGTGGGGCAATTTTTCTATTTAATATATTATTTATTTTTATCTGACTAGTAAGCTGATATTTTTTAACGCAAAAAGTCCACTTCTGGTGCTTCATTTGTCTTTTAGCCTTTGCTGGAAGTGATAAGGAAATTGAAGCACCCTTCAGGCTCAAAAATGTACTTTATCATAAATTATATCAAGAAAGAAACACATTCTGTGAACATATGGTAATATTTTCAGTTATTTTCTAAGGATGGCAAGGTAAACAAGTAGACATGGCAACAGCCTTTTGTGTATGATAATTAAAATCTGTGTATATGTATATACATAATTTGTTAGTGGTATTTGGCATTGACAATGAAGCTCCATGTACATATTATATACTACTGGTACGCAACTATTATGCAGGGGTTTTAAAACGTTTTACAATTAGGTACCTTACAACTTTTACCAGTTATTTTCTGTCTGCTTGAGATGTTATTAATAAGAAAAGGGGAACTGAAAAACACATAATTATAACTCTCTGATTTGACTTAAACTTCTTAATTGTGCCACAACCAATCAGTTGGCAGATCAAACTAATGGGATGATGACCATCTAGGTTAGCAGTTTATTCATTAGTAGGCTGAGAAATATATATTTTTTCACTTCCAGTAGAATGACATTCACACTCAAAGTGCAGCAACACTTCTATTTTATTAAACAAAATGTTTTTAATGAGTGATGTTACTGAAGGTGTGTTTGGATCCTAATGCATGCATGCTTACTGACAAGATGTTGACGTCTGACTTTACTTTAAGTTTGTGTTTACACTAAATCCTCTGTTTATTACAGTGGTTGTTATGTTACATTCTTGAGGATGAATACGGAAGATCACGGCTGTTCAAACAAGTCACTAGTTGTTCATCAGTCGGTACGACATACGCACAGCTTGAGCAACACTGAAATAAAAAAAAGAGCAAAAAGTTCTCAGCACTGTAGACATACATTAACCTTTAAAAGCTCAAGGTTAACAGGAAAATCATGAATTATTTGTATTAAAAAATTACCTCAGGGTAGCTACAAGTCCAGCAGGCATAAACTTTCCTGATTTCACAAACCTAGAGCCCATCACTCCAGACAACACCACTGATGTTACTGCAAAAATAAAGGATGGCAGCTTCCATGTAATAAGTCACTGCATCAATAAAGACAGTTAATAGGTTCAAGGGCCCCAATTCTGTAGCATATACTGCAACTAGATCTTGTGCTAGCTCAATGCAGGTTACTCCAAGCATTTTTTCAGGTTGCCTCTTCAATTCACTAATATCCATTTATACTCTGATATTGTGATAGTCTCCTTCACAGTCGTTTTTAGGGTTGCCACGCAATGCTTCTCCCCACTGTGGGAAAAAGTATTGTGTTGCGCGACGAACCTAATAATGGCTGCGAAGGAAACTAGTATCATGGAAGATGCTGCAAGAATAAATTGTCTAGCTTGCTTGTCCGAGAACTCTTCATAATGACCTTGGCCAGGCTCAAACTCAGACTAAATATGGAGTCCAAGGCACTTATTGGATAAGGCTACTCTGTCTCTTGCAATTTAAGACAAAAGGTGGATAATGCAGGCTATTTTCCAAGATTTTTCCCTGGGGTTGTTTAGCAAGGAGCTTAAATCCTAACTTGATGACAGTTGCATGAAGGTTGGCACACACGGCAGGACTGGTCACTGCAACTAGTCCCAGCAACTAGTCCCCTGAAGAGTTTACACGAAGGGACTGGTCGCAGGGACTTGTCACATGAACAGTTCACGCGAAGCATTTTGAGAAACAAGTCGCAGGGACTTGTCCCAAAAATTCAAACCAGTTTGAATTTGTGAGACTAGTTGCAGGGACCAAAATTTGGTCCCTGCGACAAGATTTTGTGGCAAAAATGGCTAGTCCACCCAATGGAAGTTGTCCCCGCGACTTGTTGCAGGGACTAGTCGCAAGGACTAGTCTCCCTAGTTCTCAATGTGACACAAAAATGAGCTGAGAGGATAAACTGAGATCAGTAGGTTATTAGCTGCCATTAATTTTTGTCTCTGTTGATTTTGACTTACCCAGCATAACCCAAACATTCCTTGGGTTCGAGGATGTCTGGTAAGCACCCAATGCAGAAATTCCGCCGAATGCCAGTCCAGCAGCTAGCGAGGGTACACTACCTGTCAATCAGTCAATCAGTCAATCAATCAATCAGTCAATCAATCAATCAATCAATCAATCAGTTGGTCAATGATAAGTCACCTAACAGCTCAACAAAAGATTGATATGAGCAAGAACAATCCATCTGTCAGTCTGTTTGTCTGTTTGTTGTTTATCAGTCAGCTGTCTTTCAGTCAGTCAATCAGTTAACCAACAACTAGCCAGCCAGCATTGCTGTATTTCATGAGTGGAGTTGACCCTGGGTAAACAGTTTATAATTGAGCTTAATTTTACTTCCATATAAATGCTCAGGACAGAGGAGACTGGAGAGTTGTCATTGGTGGCCTATGCTCCGGGAGGAGTAAAGGGCCAAAGTAAAGTAAGTAATATTTGATGAATAGTGAGTAGAGGATGTTACATGTAACATGTTACAGCAAGCATTTTCCCACATTGATGAGACTCACTGAAAGGGCCAGAAGACTAATTTCCGAGGGTCATGCCCTGTCTGCATCGTTTAATCTTGTGGGTATTTGAAGTTATGTGGTTGAAAAATGGCTTTTTCTTGAGGGGATAGAAAAAAATCGGGTTATTTTGAACTATGCATCATGTCGGCACTTCGATCTTTTTTCTTAGGGAGAAAATTTGGAGTTACCTTGATTTGTCAACTGGGGTGGGGCAGGGGTGGGGGTATCTGGATTTCAAATGGTATGGCCCCTGTGCTGCTACTGGACAACTCATGGGCTTTGTGGAAAACAGATTGCAGTATTCTGCATTCTATTTTCAAACGAAAAGACTTCCTTGGTACGAAGTTTCACTAACGTAACTTTGTCATCTGAGTTTTTTGGGTTACAGTTCATTGGTTTTTGCAAGTCGAACTGAAAGATCTTGAAGAAAAAGTCGAGATGTTTTGCTCCTTGCAGCTCTAGTTCTTCTTAAAAGCCCCGAGGAATTCCCTTTGAACTTGGTGACAAGTACAGGAACTTCCTGAATCGTACAGCTATGCCAATTATCTTCAAAGAAATAATTCACCCATCCGGCGCCCCAGACTTAACAGTTACATAAGAAATACAAACAAGCTATCAGTGGCTTTCTAACTCAACTTTTTACAAACTTGGTATTCTTTTCGTGTACATTAACAACTTCTCTAGCACCTACCAGCTTTCACGTATCCTATAACGCCCCCAAGGGCAACGATTACGGAAAACCCGTAGGACAAGTAATCAGGGGACGCCATTTTCTCGGAAGACTGCATGGTGACGGTGAGAAGACTGGGAACGAACTTCGTCGATAAACGGGGTATATTTTTCAGCCTAGGTAAATGGTTAAAAAATTAGGGGACAAATTTGATTATTTTATCATGGATTATTTTTAAAGTGTTTGAATAAATGCAAAGAAAAGGTAAGCTTAAAACAAACCATGATTTCCTGCTAAAAGTTTCAGTTTTGCTCGAGTTGCGAGCCCACCATACATGGACCTTACCAGCGGCTAACTTCAGTAACTGACTACGAGGGAAGTAAAATTGGAGGATGGAAGGGCGAAAAAGTTGTCTCATACTTCGGCATTTTGAAGCATTTTTAGATGACTAAATGGCTAGATCTACCCTAAGTGCAGACCTTGAGTTCCATATTCTTCATAACTATCCCTGGTCCAAACTTCCGACTAACATCAAGCAGGTAAGAACACTGTATGGTTTCCGCTTACGACTCACAATGCAATATAGAAGGCTATCACTTATTTTGGATCCTCTGAAATTACTTTAAGTCTTTTTGTGCCTTATCATATCTCTTTGAAACTATCAAAGCTTTGAGAACGTCGCTCGTATATTTATTTTTCACTTTGTTTGCTCTTAGTCGCTGTTTAACAGCCAAAAGGAGTGGGAAAAATGCGTTTTCGATTACAGTGTGAGGAATCAGCTGAGGTATCGCGGAAATATCGGTGAGTGTATAAAATAAACTTTTTTTTCAATTTATACGTTGTATAATTTGACCTTTCTTTCAAAATTGTGAAAAAAAGACAAGTGATTGCATCCTGTAGCCAGTGGTTTGACAGTAACGAGAATTGAGCAAATAAGATACTGCATTCAAATGCTTTTAACAGCACGTGAGGACGGAGTCATCTTTCCGAATAACCTTATTATGTTAATGTAAGCTGTTAAATTTTAAATATTTATCGTATTCATTGTTAGAACACTGAGGCGTGAATGATCTGGTTAAAAGCTAACAGGTGATGATCTCCCAGATGTCCAGATGTTCAAAACTACTTTTTGTGCTTCTATAAAATGAAACCAAAACAAACCAAACCAAAACAAAACAGAAGACAAGAGAACAAACATTGGTTACAGTACACTAACAGCACCACAAAGCTTTTTAGTTTTTTTCTGTCTTTTGAAGTTCACAGTCAATTCTCTCAAACCTGGGCCAAATGAAATCAAAAACTTGCCAACCAGACTTTTAGCCAGATGGGTGTCCTGAGGCATCCTGTGGATGCCCACTTTTTAAAGAAAATTGCTTTTAGTGCAGAATGCACTATTGGGATGGTTATGGGGGCCNGATCTTCTCTTGCAATGTTTTGATTTCGCTCATGTTGACATTTGGTCCATAAAACCTTTGTGTTTTGAATTCTTCTCGTTGCTTGTTTCAGAACTCTCCTTTTCTCCAGAACTGTCCTGTCAGGGTCGCCACTTATGTCGCGATGATTTCCTGACACCAGCTAACTTTTTATTTCACACTTCGTTCCCCATTTTCTTTTCACCCTGCCTCTACCCTCGTGCTCACTCGACTGGTTCAAACCGGTTTCTATAATGTCACGTTTCATGTCATGCAATTGTCACATTTTTGGTTCCAACATAAGTATATTTTGTTATTAAGTAAAAATACTCTTTCATATTTCTTTCTCTCAGTACGGCAAGTCAGACGAGATGAGAGAAAGTACTACGAAGATTTACTGCAATACAGTAAGCAACATCTCATGGTGAGTCTGATAATAACTCAGGTATTGATTGATTAATATTTAACAACAGGAAGAGATCAAGCGGAGTGTGGTCTGAGGTGAGCACAGTGAATAAAGCGCATTCCGGAGAGGAATAGCTCACCCAAGCCATGCACAGCTTGCCTTGCATGCAAACTGTTTTTCTCATTTGCTAATACTTTTTGCCCTATGAGCCTGTTTACAGGCTACCAACTTAACAAATCAGATGATAGAGTATCTGCTGATGAATTGTGTGATTATTATAAAGATATATAAGCATAACTTATATTCCACAGCTTTTTCCGTACCACCTGTCAGATGTCATAGTGAAAGGATTGAGGATCACTCCATTCTCATACTACTGCAGCATCATGGAGAGCATCATGGCAAATGAAAGGAGTTATGACTCATTACCAAACTTCACTGCAGCTGATTGTAAGTTTTGAGATGTATGTAAATGAGTTACACGAGCTTAGTCATGTAGTATTTTTAGTTACTTTGGCCACTTGCACAATTACCTTTAAATTGAAGGAAACCTGAAAATAGTAGTTTACTAACTTAAGATAGAAAAACACTAAAGAGATAATAATAAACCATAAAGAAACAAGGATGGTAAAAGGATGGAGAAGATTGACACGGATTACAAATGATGAACTTGAAAAATTTAGGCTAAACTTTTCAAGATGTGCAAAGTGTGACATAGCTTCTTTAAGTCTGTTGGTTAAGTCTGATATAAAAGACGAGTAAACTATAGATGTTCTCCGTTTGGTGCATTCCTTACTCACAGGTCCAGGGTTGAAAGATCCTTGATGTATAATGAGCATCTTACAAAGATGTTGATAGATTAATTTTTTATCAGGATTTTATGGAAAAAAGAGAGAAGCTGGCATTCATCAGGTGGCCAGCATTTCCTGGATGTTAGCATAGGTGCAGTGCACCCCATTGTAGTAGCATGTTTAAGCATGTGTACTTGAGAGGTTTTTGAGTGGAGCTCCTAGTAATTTGGCTCGTCTTCCTCTGCCTCTCCCTCCCCATCCCTTTTCCATGGTTATTTCAGTGAGGTGGGTGCCTGAATGACCATGTATGGGGGCTCATGGCTGGGTTGTAGGGATTGCCAGCCATGAGAGCATTTTACTGTCTAGGGGCCAGCTGGTCACAGTGGAGGCCCCCAGACATCCCAGGCACCCATCTTCCATACAGCTTGATGCAGTTTGTTAATTGATAATTTAAACAAATAAACAAATTTTATTTTATTTTTTATAAAAAAATATACAGGTCTACGACTTTTGGCTATTGGCAGAAATCAGTACATTGAACTAATGAATCAGTGTCGATCATCCAAGGTAAGCAATTTAATAACAAGATATTAATTAAAACTTTGTGGAGTACTGTTCTTAAAATCAAACCATTGTCAGGCTTGGCATTAAAAGTGTACTTCCAACTCAGTACAGACTATACTTTAACCTATACAAAACAGCACTTTCACACAAAACTGCACTTCTCCTCCATGCTGCAATTCTACCTTAAACTTTGAAAATCTTTCTTCCCAAAAGTGCTCTTTTACCTCTAAGTGGACCTTTAGCCAAACAAAAACCCTTTCAAGTCTAAACCACACTTTTGTATGCATAGTGCATACCCATCTCAAAGCTACACTTCCACAATTAAAGTGCACTTCTACTCAAAACTGACACTTCTACCTTAAAGGACTTGTGCACAGTTTCCACGTGGAAAGTACACTAGTTACTCAAAACCATAATTTACCAACTACTGTGACTCCATAGATTCCACAAAATGTTTGCCTGTAGTTTTCAATTTGAGGTTGCTGTCTTGGATGAATAAACTTGGAGTCATCAGAATGTCAAGAAATTTTACTTCCAAGCTTCAGTGTGAAATTTGTTTTATAAGATCCCGATAATTTTTTTTGTCATATTGCATTTTGCAATAATCTTTATTTCATTTGAGATCTCAGTTTCAGTGCCCTTTAGTTGGTTAACTCCCAAAAGGAACCAGTGGACATTTCTTTTACTAATAATACCAACACACCATTAACCAGTCAGATAGTGAAAATAAAAAAATGTCATTTACCAGTATCATCATCACCTTGATGTATCACCAAATTCTCAATACATAACAATAAAGAGAAGCATGACTTTCAGTAAAGAGTTCTAATTTACATAATTTCCTAGTGTGGTACCTAAAGGGTCAAGATAATTTCATCATATAATTGTCTTTTGAGTCATTGTACGATGGTTTCTTGTTTCAGAAATTCTTCAGAAAGAAGCCTGTAAGAGACCTCCTCCCAACTAAGCCTGCCTTGTTGAAAGTTCTAGAGCCTTGGTGGATTGTGCAGATTGGTTATGTAACAGAAGATGATATCAGGGTAAGTCATAACGGAAAGACCAGATAGAAAAGGTTGGTAATACTCTAGATCGGTTGAGGTTGTAGCGGCTTATAACCAGTAACACTGACAGGGCTCAAGACTAATAGGGATGGTGCAGTGATGAGAGCGCTCCCCTCCCACCAATGTGGCTCGCTTTCGATCGGGGTTGTGGTGCCACATGTGGGTTGATTTTGTTGTTCATTCTTGCCTTGCTCCAAGGGCTTTTCTCTGGGTTCTCCAATTATCCACCGTCCACAAAAACCAACACTCTAAATTTCAATTTGACCAGGATAGAGGACAAGCATGAAAATCAGCTAGGGCTGATTTGGCTTTCTCTCTAAATATTGTTATAAGTAATTTGCTATATTTGGCAAGAATCTTGAACTCTCAAAGTCTTGAATTGGTATTGGGTGTTCTCGCTTTTACTATCCATAGTACTGGCATGTTTGGTTGCAACTGATAATTTGAGATAATCTTCATTTAGATGTGTTCAAATGCCGAGCATCAGGCTATTGATTCCATCATTGACAAAGGCCCTGTGCGAGCTGGAATGATGGACCTTAAAGTCGTGCAAGGTACTAACATTTGTCATTTAAGGTCAATTTCCAATTTCTGAGATCCTATGTGGATGTAATTATAATGTCTTTCAGTTTTGGAGGATACTTAATCCTTTCTACAAATGACTCTTGTCCTCTGATCATGTTGTAACTATTTTGTTTGAAAAGAAGACATTAATTTATTACCAGAGTGCATGAAATCAACAGGTATTTTTTTTTTTGTTGGGAGTTGGGGGGGGGGGGGGGGGGTGGGTTTAAAG